AAAAAGAAAAAAAAAAAAAAAAAAAAGAAAGAAAGAAAGAAAGAAAGAAAAAACGAAAAGGAAAAAGAATGCTTGGTCATCGACTTTTTACACTCGGTTCTCGGTCGAGCGTAGTCGAGACTTGGCGACAAACACTATCGTACTAAATTAGCTTTGTTATCGCGCCTCTAAGGTCGTTGATAGCTGAATTCCCATGAGATTTTATCTTTCAATGCAGTCGAAATGCAAACACGAATGCGAATGTCTCTCTTATTCTGTATAACATTTAAGGAGATCGTTTGCGAGGCATGCTGCAGGCTAAAAATCTCAAGACATTTTCTAATTTTAAATGACAAACTAAACTGATACTGACACTCGACGTTTCGAAAATTGTTAAAAAAAAACGCTATTTTAATTGTAGATAGTCTTGCAACGATCTGTTTCTAAAATAACTTTAGTTTTGTTTAATCTTACATTTTTTTTCCTTTTTTTACCTGAATTCTGTAAACATATACTTTAATAAATAGATTGCGGATGTTTATTAGAAATTTATAGGTGTGCGAAAGTGCACAGCGTAGGTAAAAATATATATATATATATATATATATATATATATAAGCGTCAAAAGTAGCATTCGTTTATGATACTTAGCAAACGAAGCATCCAAGTTCTTTGGTGAGTTCACAGTTGAAGTTCACATAATTTTTTTCCAAACATCCATAGTCTGTTATTAAATAATCCTTTCGCTAGTTTGCTCAGACTAATGAACATAGCTGATCAAGTACCTGTTGATTATATCCTTTATAATCCTGATCGAGTACCTGCTGTTAAGCTGAAAGTTTGTTAACCAAGTCTAGACGGTTCTTGTACTTTTGGCCAGCAGAGTGCCTCTTACACCGTAGTAGTTCAAATCGAGCAAGAGTATACACGTGTACTCTTTGAAAAACAGTGCTCTTCTCTTAGCTTTGATTAACTTCACGATCGCTCGAGTGTTATATAGAAGCTAGCTAGTGAAAAGCCTCCTTTTTCCTTGATAGTTGAGCGTTTTAATACTTTTAAAATGGGGAGGAAATAGGGGGCACGTTGAGGGCAGAAGCTAAGAGTTCTACGTGTTGTTGTACATTTCCTTTTTAATGGTTCTAACTCTTGATACTTTATCGAAAGTTTAACGTTAAAACAAAAAAAGAAAAAAAAAAAGAAGTTTTTATCGGAGTCAACATGTAAGGAGACTGTGTTTCCTTGTGCTCTCCGAATAGCGTTGGGCCACGATGGTTGTGAAGCAACATTATTGTTAAACCGTTCAGTTTCTTTTTCTTTTTTTTTTTCCCTCCCCTCCCCTCCCCTCTGAAATGTCAAATAAAAGATTGGAGAAAATCTAACTTAGTGTGACGATATTCGTGTATTTAAGAAGTTCAAATAAAAGTTAAGGAAAGCGTCAAGCACCATCGTTGCCCAGAGGAATCGTCGCAAGTTGTACATAAACTGTAATGGAAATATGTTATTATCACGGCACGTCGTAGACAAAAATGAGACTGACTTTTTATAGGTGACAAATTTTACGCGAACAATTTTGAAAAAAAAATCGAAATTGCCTTATTATTACCGGAAAATAAGCGCTAGATTTTCATTTTTTTTTCTTCTACGTTCTTACCTCTCATTTTCTCTACTTTTTCTTTATTTTAATTTTCCTTTTCTTTTAAATTGCGACAAAAAGATGAAATTAGCCCCTTTCTTACTGTAACTGCATTCGCCACGAGCATAACAGACATTGCACTTTATATTATTCGACGAATAATATATAATTAAGAAAAAAAGAGGAAGAAAATTAGTGTTACGTTTACAAGAAATTTTCTCATTTTGCAGATCGAGTTATCGTGAGACAATGATCTTTTTCGTTAACAACATTCATACGATCATCATACACTCTCTCTCTTTCTCTTTCTGTCGGTAATTCATAGTTATATATAAGGAATAATTATTTAAGACGAAATAAAAAAATGTCTGTAAAAGAGGAAATACTAGAGAGCTCTGCTGGTTGTGTGTTTATTGATAAAGGACGAGAAAAAAAGAATAGTTAACAAATTGTTCGGAATGCATGATTATTTATTGTAATCGTACCGAAGGCACGATTTTCTCTTCTGTTTCTCGTTTTTTTTTTTCTTTTTTATTTCTAGATACTTGTACAAAGAACAAAGGAAAGAAAAGAAAAGAAAAAAAGTTCAGCGATTGCTAACGACGTGAAAGAAAAGAAAAGAAAAAACTGTTCACTTGAATGTGATTCACTGAGTACGGTGTTGCCCTTCAAAAGGCAGCTTGCATTTTTGAAAAGCAGCAAAGTGCCCGATGACGAGCCGCAACGTAGCCAGTTTCGAGATTATTTCCACTAATTTCCAGAACACTCCCCTGTGACAATACTGTAAAAAGCAAATGCAAATTACTCCCGTTACTCGATGCTTAATTGTCACTATTTTAACTTCCAGATTCAGACTTGAACACTTACACATGTCATGTAACTTTCGTGTCACATCGTATACACACTGTGTAACACTGAGATTTCCATGTTGGAACATAAGGATGTGTAAAAACTAAAGACCAGTTCGGTCCACGATGCGTACACTCCAGAGCGAGTGTCTTTTGACTGAGTATTTTTGTCACTCGGGCAGAAACTTTATAACTGCTTCACATTTGTACACCCACAGGATGCTGTGGTTTAAAGATTAGCCCAGCTAGTTGCAAAGAGGAAACAGGAAGGGGCGGATAGCTGCACGAGATATCACCTTTGATAGATTCATAGCTAAGCACAACAAAAAGACATGGAAACCTTGGACATTTCCTTTTCCACTTTGAAAAATTCCAGGCTGAAAATAAATGAAATGTACAATTTTCTGCAGTTCTTCCTACGAGATTCACACCTTATCATAACAGACATAAGATGAAATTATATTTGGAAGTTTGACGTGTATGTTAAGCCCATGAAAAAAGAAAATTGCATAAACTTTAGATGAAGACTCTTTCTCTCTCTCTCTGGTTTAAACCTGAATCTAAATAGTTACAAATAAATATTAAATGAATACTCTTGAAACAGTATCTGCAAGGTAAATCAATTCTTTTCTTTCTTTCTTTTTTTTTTTCTCTTTCAATAATCCTACTGCTATCAGTTGGGACAAACGATTTCCATACCTTTAACTTGCTAAAAACACGTTGCAGAAACTAATAAGGAACCATTAGTATCAATGGCCCGAAACCATCAAACCATGCTGATCTAATACTTTAAAAAAAATCAAAGAAGATTTTCTCGGTAATTTCTTTCTTTTTTTTTTCACCGTAAGATGTTGTTCCTCATCTTGAGTCGATATACGTAAAATTTTGATCAAATTGAAGAGCAAATTCTGGCTTGGAAAACGTGCTTGATGCGCGTAACGTTTAAGAATCAGAGCCAGTAGTCTTCTTGACACGGATACAGGGGATTTTTCTAGTTCGCTAGCCACCGTCACCCTCGTCGTTTTCCCTCCCCTTCTCTGCTTTTGCCCCTTTTCTCCTGTGTGGCGGAAAGCCTGCAAACCCCAGCTCGAAACGCCGGCTGGCATCAAGTAAAACACGAACATCTGCTTTACGCATGGTGAGGACGAGCCTGTCGTCGAATTTTACAGTGTTACGCATATTGTCGCGTTCTTTCTTCTATCCGTTTCCAAAAGAACTTTGAAACGTAGAGCGTATATTCACACCAGAGATCAATTTCACCAATGAAAAATTTCTTTCTGAAATTACTTCTTGGATAATATTTGAAGAAGAAAAAATATGAAAAGTTGAAATCTGAAGGGACATCTCTGTTCTCTTCTGCTAATTGCAAGTTGCAAAATCACTGTGACTGTGTTTAGAATTATCAATGATTTTATGTCAAGCTTGTTTAAGCCATCAATAAGAAATACGTATAAAAAAAAAATGAGAAGGTGCGGTTGAGAACTAATTTTAACAGCAACTAAAAAAGAGGAGAAAAACAAGAGATCGACGACAAAGAAGTCTTTTCTTTCTCAGTAGTTAAACAACGTGGCGTGTAATTTTCAGCATCATCGGCCTCTGTGCTCGTAGGGCGAACGATTGCGCAATCATGGGGACCACGTGGGGGCCTTTGAAATGCATTCAGTCGACCCGCTTTTACAGGACCACCTGGAATGTTTTTCTAGTACAGCGATAACAGTCTCAGCTGCCTCAGAAATGAATTGAATCGCAATGCATGGAAAAACTGCGCCAACTCGCCAAACAAATGGAATTGAAAAAAATTGGGAAGGATCCAAGAATCCATCTTCATCATTCAAAAACCAAAATCGAACCAGAAACGAGGTCTCTTTCTCTCTCTCTCTCTCTCTCTCTCTCTCTCTCTCTCTCTCTCTCTCTCTTTCTCTCTTTCTCCTTTAAAGGAACACTTTTGAATGATTGAATAATTCTCTTTCTATTATGGACTTATCGAATCTGTTAAATTCTAGGAATTAAAAGCATTTTGGAAATAATTGAAGATCAGAAGAGAGAAACTTGATACTTGGTTTTCTAATTTCAATGTCATTTTGTGATTAATGATGAGAGTTTGAACAAGATATGGTTGAAGATAAAGACAACCAGTTGGATTCGGAAAGATGTCAATTTTTTTTTTTTAAAGTAGCTGATAATTATTGAAGTGAGCAATATTTTAAAGAAAATGGAATTTAAAGAAAAAATTATTTGGAAAAGAATGAAGGACCAGTCGGAAACGCTTTGAAGATTCCCTGGCAGAGAACGGAACGAGAATCTCTCCAAGTTAGTATTATTGTTGTGACCCAGGATGACTCATGCACACCACGCTGTAGTTGATTTTTCTCGAATGAATCAACAAGCTAGCGTCGATACATCACGCTATACGCGTGAGCTTGCTTACCCAGCACAACTAAGAACGCACGATGCATCACTTCCTAAACATCTAATTTTCACTGCTCGTAAGTTCCGCGAACCGTGTTTAAAATTAAGGCAAGTTGAGAGGAACGTTTGGAGGAGCGTGGCTAGTTAAGCCAAGCCTTGACCTGTCTGGGAAATCCATTTGGACTCGCGTTATAATTACCATACACAACAGCTGTGCGACATCCGGAATCACTTCGAACAATAACTTCATTGGAAGCCTTTGAATTTCTATTTTAATTGCTGCAGTCAAATTATTACCAATACAATTTTACAACGGTGCGAAACTGAAGAGGGAAGCTTAACGTTACTCATGTATTTGAGAAGTTTCAGTCTACAATATATGTATTTTAGATTGTCAGAAGAAATCATCTGACGGTTCTTTTAAAAACTGACTAATACTTAAAGATGAAAGAAAATTGTAACGAATTGCAATGTGTAATTTAAATATCAAGCACACGCATATTCAAGGAAAGTTTGACTAAACGTATCTACGAAGATCAAACTGAAGGGAAACGGAGAACAAAGAAGATTACAAATAGCCTCTGAACACTATCGTGTTAACTTGGTGCTTCAATTTCGTCATACAAAGACCGTTTCTTTTCCCGGATAAAGAATAATCAGAGGATCGAGAACGAGGAGAACTGAGGATAGGTGCTGGATTACTTCGACACTGCACTACACTGTTTTTAAAAACGATTTCGCATCGGATACTGTCGGGTCAGATAACGTGCAGAAAATTGACGAACAGACACGGTGTACTACTGTCGTCCAGCACGGTGTCTCGAGGGCAACTGAACACTGAACTTGATTTACGGAACAGCTGCGGAGAAGGGAGGATCCCGAGAGAAAGAAACACGTGGTGCGGTCCTCCGAGTGAAGAGGGGACCCGCGGGCGCGCTATGGATACGGGATGCGTTAGCCTCTCCTCCGTTAGCCGGCCAATGGAATTGTTAAGTGGATCGCGAATTGAATTTTGGCCGCGTCAATTTTAGTGAAACCTCTCCGAGCTGCAGTTATCGGCGCCCTTTTATCGGCGCGTCGGCTGGTATTTACGCTCCTCGCAAAATGGAATCCGTCGTGTGCTCTGCTTTTAGAAACATTAAAACTTATTTCGAGACGAGTCGAAATATAATAATTTGTGGAATCTCGATTTGAAGTGGATAGAAGTTTTCCAAAGCATTCGGAGTTTATCGCGAGTTTGTAGTTGATCGCAAGGTTTCGTCTGGAGCTTGCCTAAAAGAGGGAAAGAAGAGTGGAAGCGGTAGAAAAAAAAGATGAACAGAAGTGTATGGAAGAGTGGAAGCAACGGGGACTGGAAAAGGGTCAGAGAGCAGTGTCCTAAGGCGAGGGGGCATAGCCGGGCCAGAGGAAAATTTGCATTTCCTGTTCACGATGAATAATGCCGCACGGAGAATGCCCGTAGTAGCCTGGTCGTCGAACTAATTCGATAATCCTCGAAATTTTAACGAACACTCGTTTCGAGGAAAGCCGTAAAGAAAAAGCCGTGCTCGCGGCCGTCAGAAAGAATTTTCACCAGTTTCCATTACTGTTATTCATTTTATTCGTCTCTTTCCTTCTAGGGATTTAAAACTAATTTTTGAAAGCAAAGACACCCGTCATAAAATAGAGCTGCTATTTTCTGGGATAGCTTCAATGAAAGGGGAAGAGAGAGATTTGGTGTTTATGGCAACTCCCTCTTGCTCGTGGAGGATTGTCCATAGGTATTCCTATTTTAGTTTTTGTGGTAGTTTTACTGGACTTTCAGATACAGAGAAACAATACGTGACCATTAACATCTGGAAAGTCCTTACTTTATTCCTTAGTTAAAGTTTTATATGTTCTATTTAGTTTTCTTTTTTATGTATCTGGAGAATTATGATTTGAAATAACAGTTAATAAAAAGATTAATGGCTGAAGGAATTTTTAAATGATAATGATACATAACACGAGACAAATGTAGTAAATCTCTTTCTCTTTTGATCTATTTGTTAATTACCTTAGCAGGAAGATTCCAAAATCTGAAAGAAAAGAAACGTTCCTCTGTGGTCTTTCATTATAAAGATTTTAATAGATTACGAACAGTGTTTCATAATTTTTACAATGAAAAATTTACATTTTAACTTTTGTAATAATTTGTATAACTTGCATAATTTCCTTTTCCAATACTTTGTTGTATAAGTAGAATAGGCTGAAGCAGCTTAGGATCTTAAATATTCTACAATACATTCTCCATCAATTACAATCATCGAATGCAACAGTTGCAGAGAAATGTTTGAAAATGACTTTGAAAACATAGACCTATAGGAGAAAAAGGGGCAAAAAGATGTTGGAAAGAAATAGTGGTGTAACAGTCGACTACCCACAGAAATGGAGCACACTTGTTTCTCAACAAAAAAGCATGTCGGAGCATCTGGAGTTTCGAAAGAGGGACTAGAACGAGCTTGTGTAAAAACTGTTTACGTAGCTTACTTGCGTGGGAGCGAGATTTTTTTTTACTTCTTGAGAGATATCTCAAGAGATAACGATTATCTTCCGGAGTTAAAGAATAGAAGAAGTCACGGAAATATAAAAATACTCAATAAATTTATTCAATATGAATAAAAAATAAATCGTAAGAACTTACAAATCTAGTAGCTTTCAGTGTGTAAAGAATCGTGCAAAGATAAGAGTGCAAAATGAAAATGGATGAGAAGCTAATGATATCTTCTAATATTCTATGGTGACGGTCTTCGTTTTCAAGTATTCGTTCAAAGCTTCTTGGCCTAGATCCTTGCCAAAGCCAGACATCTTGAAGCCACCAAACGGTGCAGCCACGTCCGTCTTGTTATAAGTATTAATGAACACCGTTCCAGCTTCTATCTTTTCAGCAAATTTCAGTGCCTTGCCGATGTCCTTTGTCAAGACACCCGAAGCCAATCCATACTCGGTATTGTTAGCCCTGGCGATCATTTCGTCCATGTTTTTCGAGCTAAACTTGGAGACAATCATAACCGGGCCAAAAGATTCCTCTTTGGCTATGTACATGTCGTCCGTGACGTTTGTGAAGATCGTTGGTTCGAAATACCAGCCTGGACGGTCTAATCTCTTCCCACCATAAATCAGTTGAGCTCCTTCCTTCACTCCACGTTTCACGAAGTCCAGAAGCTTGGTCAAATGAGCTTTGTGGTTCTGCGGTCCGTGGGCTGTGCTTCTATCCAGAGGATTTCCTATGGATATCTTCTTAGTCTCCTCGACTACCCTTCTCACGAACTCGTCGTGAATCGTTTCCTCCACAAACAGTCGACCTATTTTCAAAACGAAGGATGCATATATATTAATCTTCAAATCTTAAATCGTCAATTGTTTTTGAATACCGTACCAGCAGCTATACAATTTTCTCCCTTGTTGAAGAATACGCTGCCCATTCCAATCTTGACTGCCTGCTGAAGGTCAGCATCCTCGAAGATGACCAAAGGGCTCTTCCCACCCAGTTCCAAGGACACTTTCTTCAGGTTGCTGTTAGCACAGGACCTCATGATGGTCTGTCCAATTTGCGTGGACCCGGTGAAGCCGAGCTTTCTGATCAGAGGATGCTCGCAAATGGCGTTCCCAGTCTCAGTACCGTTTCCTGGCACGATGTTAACCACTCCAGGTGGGAAGCCAGCTCTTACAGTTAGCTCTGCGAATTTCAACGCTGTCAAAGGCGAAGCTTGAGCTGGCTTCATCACTACGGTGTTGCCCGCTGCCAAGCAGGCTGCCATTTTCCAGGAGAGCATCATCAACGGATAGTTCCATGGAGTGACGAGGCCACAAACGCCGATCGGCTCCTTTCTAGTGAACGTTAAGTTACGATTTGGCCTGGCGTGACTTATCGGTATGGTGGAACCTTGGATCTTGTCGCACCAGCCAGCGAAATACCTCCAGGTTTCTATGGACATTCCTATGTGGGTCTTCAGAGCCAACGTGTACACTGCACCGGAGTCTATGCTCTCGATGGTGGCTAGTTCTTCCTTGTGCTCCTCCATTAGATCTGCTAATCTAAAGGAACATTGGATATTACAAAATGATTGATAATACATTGTAAATACTGTGAGGAAGATATGTACTTGAAAAGGAGAGCTCCACGCTCCCTGGCGCTGATCTTGCTCCATTCACCTTCTTCGAAGGCTTTCTTGGCGGCCTTGACTGCCTTGTCCACGTCCTCTGCGGTGGCAGTTTCGACCGAGCAGATCACACTCTCGTCGTGAGGGTTAATCGTGTTCAGAGGCCTTCCGCTACCGTTCACGAATTCTCCGTTTATGAATAACTGTTTAGGGAACTTCAGGTCCATGTTGTTTGCTTGCATTTCTACGGTGTCATACTTGATCTCCTTGGCAGCGGAGATACCTCTGGCTGCAAGAACTACTGTGTTGACAAATTCGTTGAACACCGGAGCCATGAAAACGTCGATATTCTGCAGGTTCACTCCGAGGTTGTCCTTGACTTCTTCTATCATCCTCACAACGTCCATACTTCCTGCTCCTGTAAGGAAAGATCAGATTAATTTATGAGATCAATTTATTATCAATGAAGTTTTAATTCTTCGATATCGATTGAAATATTCTTTCATGTACCGCAGGCAAAGAAGTCAGTGTCCTCATCAACGTTTGTCTTCAGAATGTCGACCCAAATACGCCTCAACGTTTCTATGTTCCTCTTCTCCTCGTCAGTGAACTCAAGCATAGTACTTTCATTCTGCTGACCAAATTTGCTGGCAAGGATGGTTCTGCTACCGATCTTTATTCTCTCCACATTGATAAATTGATTGTCAACGGTATTGATCAGCAATCCACCCTCGTGAATGATACCCACTCTGTCCTCTACAGCGACTTCGATCTCATGCTCCGGTGCCTTATCACCGTTCCACAAGGTAGATCCAAACAGACGAGCTTCTTCGCCGTTGACAGTGGTCCAAGCACCTGGAGTGCTATCCAAGGCACGAATGAAATCGTGGACTCTTTTCGCAGGCTTCGTCCAATCTATCTTCTGGAGCTCCTTTTTGTTCAACATGGGGTCATAAGTGGCCCCGACTTCCGTCTGAGGAATCGTCGGAGCGAGTCCTTTGGCCACGAGATCCACAGCCTCTGCCATGGCCTTGATGCCTTCGGGATACAGGAAGTTGTTGTATAAAGTGTCCAGAGTATCGTTGAGCTCCACCTTGCAGGACCTCTGAAGTAAGATAGGCCCCGTATCGAGGCCATCGTCAGCCCAGAAGATAGAGAATCCTGCGGTGTCATCTCCTTCTATCAAGGTCCTAAAGAAGTCAACAAAGTGAAGATTATCCAGAGAACGATATGCACAGTTTTGTCTGACGATACGTTTCGCTTATCACGACAGAAATTATGCACAAACATGTATTACGCGCTGCGATAACGTTACGCGCGAAAACGGAGTCGAACCGGTTCCAAGATACCGGTATGTACTTCGATTTGCGCTGTCGGTGTCTTGTTACGCTCCCCCCCTCGCCTCGAGTGATAAATGAGCGGCAAATCGCGCAGAGGCGACCGAACGTCCTCGCTCATTATTTTGGGCTACTGCGTAACGCGTTATCACGATTAATTTAAAACCACTAACCAGCTGATAGCGCTAGCTCCACGGTGCCGCGGTAGTATTGACGGATGGTAGCATATGCTGCGATGGCGAGGATGATTAATCACCTCCATGGGGATGAACTGACTGCAGAATGGAAGGACGTTCAAGTCCACCTCGATCCCTTTGTACATCTCGAAAATCTCTGGCAACGTCACGCCTTTGCTCCTCCAAGATTTGATCTTGAAGACTGGAGTTTCGTCAGCTCTTGCTGTGACAGCTGTAGGAAGAATGTTTGTCATGATAACTGTCTTGTCAAGTTGTCACAGTACTGGAAAGTTAATTGGCAGATTTTTTGTTTCTTTCTTTTTTGTAGGTTTGTAAATTACCCTACCTAGAGGATCCTCTCGGTTCCCTTTGTCGGGTATTGTGAATACTCCCGTGATTTGATGACCATTCTGTTTCAAGAGCTTGTACACCTCGGCTGCGAAGGGGCTCTGGCCGATTATGGCCACTTTCAGTTGCGCCATTGCCGTCTAAATGTCGAAATTTAATTTTCATTCGTTTCATATGTTAAACCATAGATTTTGCATGTCTCTGCTGAGACGGACATAGCGAGATGTTAAAGTGGAAGAAATTTAAGGAAGATCGGTAAATTGCTATGACTACCGATCTCGCTATGGTCCGTCTCTCCTTCAGATTTTTACCCTTCAATGAACTCAAAACACCAAGCGTTACAGTGTAATATGCATCATATATGTACGTACCTATTTGCAACGCGTTTAATGCACTCTTCTAACTTTCACTGTATTTTCAAGCGAGCTGCAAAGAGAAGATTGAGAAGAAGTGTGAGAGAAGCTGTGCAAAGGGGAAAGTATGTTCCAAGATAGAGAGAAACACCTACTTCTATCTACCATGGATGTGTTGTTAAAGTTATATACAGTATAAACTCTACTAACTTATATACAGTATGCCCTCTACTAACACCAGAAACATTTCCAATATGCTGTTATACCAACCATTACTCTACTTTCTACGTGTTTATACGCGTTTGAATTATTCGTGTATTAAAGCGTAAAGTAGTGTAAACATGTAATATAATATTTACAAAATTTCAGGCGATTGGCTTACGGTGTTCACGGTGTAGGAACGTATCGAGAAGAAGCTCTTCAGGAACAGCATCAGAAAATCGACGTCGACAGTTCTCCGATTGTCCCGCTTGACATGCATTCACTTCACCAATTGCTCTTCGGCTGCTGACGGTTAGCAACACTTGCAGTTATCTGACTGAACTATACTAAAACGTAGAACGTTTATATAAGCTGGTTGTATCAGCCACATCAGGGTCAAGAACTGTTCTTCAATTCGTTTTTTTTATTTATTCTCGCCTCGTTTATTATTTCGATTTTCCATTGCCCACATGGTTCTCCCAGCTTTTTCTCTCACTGTCAAGAAGATCATGCCTCACTGTCATTGGAAATATTTTGAAATTTCATTAGCATTGCGGTGAGATTATACAATTATATTGGTCAGTTTTTGAAACGAACTGTAAGAATCTGTTTAGAAGCTACAAGACATTTGAACTGATATTTATTCGTTATATTAGATTGTTTTTATATAGCGTTCTTATTTCTATTCAACAATTATTCTTATCAGATTAATCGTTATCTGAATGCTAAAGAGAATTAGAAAGAAACATGGCAAATTTTCAATTGCAGCTGAGAATGTGAATCGTCAAATATTTGCATTCCTATTGTAGTCTTCACGAAACGTAGATAAGAAGTGAAATACTCCAAAAGTTGGGAATGCTCCAAACTGTAAAAGTTCATTACTGAAAAAGATGGTGATTAATAGTTTAATTAATAATTATTAAATGTTATATCATTTGTTGATAATGAATGGAATTATCAAGGAATGAATATAAATTATTCTGAAATTCGAAATTAATTTGATATTAACTTGATAAATAACAATCTGATATTCTTGATATAAATTGGTTCATTTTTCAATTAGCATTTTCATGGTGCAATAAATAATTCTATACATTCTATTTGTTATATCAGCTACCTAAAGATATTACTAAGAAATCATTCTCTTCCGAGAATGATGAGAATTACTTCTAGAACGTTTTAAAACAAATTCAGCATTTCAATCTGGAATAGTAACGCGTAACGTAATATCTTGAATACGTCAATATGTTGTGAATAATTTTCCTCTTTCTTCTTTTTTTAACAAATTATCATTAATTACTAGTTTTAACCAGTTCAAATGAGTTTGGGTAAACCCCCTATCAATTGGTCATAGGTCAACAGTCTGTTTACATGACTAGTTTCGTACTGGTTTTGGTCGGTTTTAGGTCATGAATGTCCGGATCTTTGCTCGCGACGAATGAAAAATCTTACATAAGCCTTCGATTACAAGTTACAACAGTAATAACATTATTTCACAATAATAATGCAGATCAGAAACAACATCCGTTTTAAAAATATTATACAGTCTTTTATTATGCCTCTGATTTTGTACAAGTGATAGCCATAGACAAATTATGTAACATTCGATACTACACATACATATATAGCGTATATACTACACATGATATTACGTGAATTGAAATTAACTCAAAAATCGACACTAGTCGCTTCAATATCTAGGTACTTTGAATTCCGACGCACCGTCCAACACTGTTGTGGGCTTTCTTTTGTTCATAATATTCTGGATTTTCTGCCATTCTCTGTCCAATTCAGCTTTCTCGTTCTTTTCTTTGTTATACTTCCTCGTTCTTCTTCCATCAGCCATTTTTACACCATACTGGAACGCTGCTTTTGGCAAAGCTTCTTTGTTGTTCATGTATTCGCTGTACTCTTCAGGTGTATCAAAGTCCCATCTGCCGATTGGGCCTTTTTTGTTACCAAGATCCATTTTGGTATAGTCTACTTCGTCGTCCGAATCGTCTATGGCGTCTTGCATCTCGTCCAGCCCTGGATAACACTCCGCATAGCCTTCTGGCTCGGCAGCTAATTTGTTAAGGAGAGCACCCTTCTTCGGTGCGTTAATATCAGAATTGGAAGGTGCAACGTTTGGTAACTGTGGTGTGTTCGCTTTATCATCCGCGTCCAAGCCAGTCTCAGGCTTGTCAAAGTAAGAACCTTTCTTTTTCTCTCTTGGCTGATTCGAATCTTTCTTGTCAATCGTCGGAACATAGTCACCGATGTCTCCGTAGATACTTTCGTCCTGTGGCCTCGGAGCAATATCCATGTCGTTCATGTCATCAGGCCTAGATCTTCCGTCTTTGTTCTTCTTTCCTTTTTTGCCATGACGGCTGCCCTGACGAAGATAGGACAAAATCTGTGCCAGTTTATTTATTACGATGTCGTTCGTCGTCAAAGTAGGAGTATTGTCAATAGTAGGCACGTCCGCCTTGCTTCTAATCAGAGTTGTTGGTATGTCTACATCCGTATTCTCGTCGTCTAATTCTATCACGTAAGCCATACGGCCAGGAGTGAATAATTCATTTCTTTCAATCTGCTTGGACTTCATGGTCATAACTGTTCTATAAACGTTGCGTCCTATCTTGGTTTTGAACTGCATTTCGTCATCCTTCTTCTCTCCTTCTTTCTTGTCCTTCTTTTCCTTTGGCTTCACTAACTTTTCCATTTCTTGCTCCTGTTCGTGCTCCTTTGCTTCTATTTCACTACGTACCTGTAGAACAAAATATTCTTTGTAACATATTTATTCCTAAGAGTCTTTTACTTAAGAGCAAACTCATACTTTTTGGAGAAGAGCGTAGTCCAAGCCTTTCACCAAGTGAGTGTGCTCCATATCACCTCCCAAGAATTTTGATTGTTGAATCATCTGCCTCCTGCGCTCAGCCGCGTCCATTCCTGACTTCAAATCCGGCGCAACTGCGCGATATGCGCTAGCGCTGTTCATTGGATCCTCTGCCTGATAATCTTGATTCGTGCCATCCCTGCGCTCTCTGGCTCTGTCTCTGTACTTCTCCGCCAGCTCGGCCATCTTATCCTCTTCTTGTTTTTTCAGCTTGGCGTAGAAACTCTTCTTCTTCCTTCGCAATTCTGCACGACTACCGCCACTAACATTTGGGGTCTGTGCAGTCTTCGCGCTGGCATCTCTAGCAGTTCCTGGTACTGAAGCAGGAGTCGCAGATGGGACAGATGCCCTTGGTGTCATCAACAGCTTCCGGAAGTCATCGTTCGTTAAACGAACGGACATTCCCATGTCCTCCTCTGTCGTTTCTGGCATCTTTGTTATTGCACACGGATGTTCTGAAATATTGAGGTTAGGTTACCAACATCGATTTAATTAGTAATGTTATTTAACACGATATGAACAAAATTTCGGAATTATAAATCGAAGTACATCTCTTACGTACATTTAATATCGGAAATTGCACATTGGTTGGAAAGAAATTAGTACTTGTGTCACTTAATTGTCCAAATAAATATGGGCACATAAAAATGTCACTTTCGTCAACAATGCCGCAGCGGTACTGCCGCCTGGCGGAAAGCGATCCAAGTATTTTTAAATATGAATTTTAGTTCAATGATCGAAATTGTGGTTTCAATTTCCAGCTCTGGCTTGTTCTTTGCTTTAGGTAATCACATATCATATTTCATAGTTCTGCAAAATTTTATTTCATTCGAAAATATACATGCGAAATCGAAAAAAGTTGCAAGAGGACGTTATCAATCGTTTCTAGGATTGAATTACATCGTATTCCGTATTTATGCAATTGGCAAGGTGCATCGTTGCTCGTCCAAGTTCAGGATTGGCTACGTAGTATTGGAAACCGTTGTTGACTCTATTACACGCGGCTCCGTAGTCTCCGTCTTTGTTTAAAGCAATCACGGCACCGCTGAATGTAGGATAATGCTCGGCGATTCTTCTAACTGCTGTAGTCGCAGCTTCGGTTGGAGTAGCACCACGGCGCATTTCTTCTACAGCTAGGAAACTAAAAAAAAGAAATATATATATATAAAACAAATTGCAAAAACTACGTAGTTTCATATTTTTATAGATGTAAGTAAACAAATAAAATCTAAATAGAGATGCTCTATCCACTAAATATTGTAATTTTACTTTGAATGTTTTAGGTATTTTTGTACATTTGTACACTTTGAAATCTCTTATAGAATATCTAATCATAATGTAATGTGAATATGTTTCTTACGTAGGTAGAAAGCGCATCATAATGTCTCCGTCACCGGTTCCAGCTGCCGCGCCAACTTTTTGATCAGCGTATGCACCTGCGCCAGCTATGGGGGAATCCCCAATGCGGCCAGGAATTTTATTTTTGGCTCCGTTAGTCGATGCACCTGCTGCTATATGTCCGTTTGAATCTATAGCTACAACACCAATTGTATCATGGTTCTCCTCGTTCACGTACGATATATGTTTCTCCATGATATTGTCCATGGTTTTCCGTAAATGATATGGGCCGCAACTCTTTTTTGGATCAGGATCTACATTCTGAAACGATACGTACAATTTTATTATACAATTTTTATGATGCATGTGAGATATATTTTCAGTCTACAATTTTATTATTATTTCCTGTCACATTAACACCTAAAAATCAAACTTAAACTAAAAATAATATTATAACTTATTATATGTGAGTCATACTATCAGATAAATTGAAATGTAAAAGAAATTAATAGTGTTACTAACATTATTTTTAATATTTTTCTCTCACTTTCTATACTGTACTCTAATCTTTTTCTTTTTACAATCCTTAATTACATATTTCAATGCATCTGATTCTTCTTTATACAGTATGTATTTTTTCTTTTCTCTCTTCTTGAATGGAAAATTATTATACATTGAGAATGATTTACCTTCCAAAAATTGGGTTGACATTTGTTTGCTTTCCAATTCAACCACATTTTCTTTGATTCTTCTGTCTGCAGAGATTCCTTTTTGAATCCCATCTCCACAGCAAAATCTGCAGCCAGCTCTCCCCCAAGTAAAGAATGCTTAGTATTTTCTAAAACCTTACGAGCAACTGAGATGGCATTCTTCACATTTCTTAATAGTCCTACACCACCCACATCCATTGTTACTCTATTTTCGGATAAATAATTCACTTAAAAGCAATACTTTGTTTTATATATAAGCTTAAATGAATGATAGATATACCCATCCATAATTACAGCATCCAGAGTTGTTTCACCGGATTCGTCTGGGCTGCCTCCATACCCTACAGTTGTCCTGCATCTTTGCTCTTCGCAGAGACTACAACTTTCTTCTATAGCATCCAGGGCGCTCCTTTTTTGATTGTTTAAAACATTCCACGCTGAAAAGAGATTTTCACCATAATATCATCATATCATCTTTATAAAAATAAAAACGTAATGTTACCTTTCTGCGTAGCATCTCTATAATCCCAAGTAATGACTACCAGAGGGATACTCTTGTTCAAAGCAGATGCATTTTGGCAAAATGTTAGGCAAATACATGCAATTAAGTAGACAGTCAGTAGGTGCTTCATGTTTGGTATTTGATTCGACAGCTATCAATAAGCATGAAGTATTTGTTAGAATAAATGATCTTTGCTCGCTGGCAGTATATATCTTTGCGATACATATATATATCTCTGGGATATATCTCTGTAATATCAGACTATGTACATTTATAACATCATTTTAACATAATGCTTCCCATTGTTAATAATTTATAGGTGTTATTGAACTGAACTACAAACAAATTGTAAACAGCATAGATGAATCTGAAATTGTTAATTTATGTAATTACGTAATATAACAATTATCTAGAATGCTCCAATAATATAGACACACATTGTTATCAGACGTGCATGATGTCACATTAAAATGTGAAACTTTATCGCGTGTATGGAAAATTTTTAACAAGATATCTAAGTTCAATAAACGTGATTGATTACAATCTTATCAATAACTGAAAATAATACTGGTTCGATCAGTATCATTAACAGTAATAAGTTAACTACATTATCGTCCCACGCTATCGCCCTCCATGTTTAGCGCGTTTATATGTCTGTTCTTGTCGCACGCTATCGCCCTCCTCGTCTATCGCGCAAGTGTGTCTGTCCTTGTCGCACGCTATCGCCCTCCTTGTTTAGCGCGTTTATATGTCTGTTCTTGTCGCACGCTATCGCCCTCCTCGTCTATCGCGCAAGTATGTCTGTCCTTGTCGCACGCTATCGCCCTCCTTGTCTGCCACCTCTATATGTCTGTCCTTGTCACACGCTATCACCCTCCTTGTCTATCGCACAAGTATGTCTGTCCTTGTCGCACGCTATCGCCCTCCTTGTCTACCGCACATATATGTCTGTCCTTGTCGCACGCTAGTGCGCTCCTTGTCTAATGACGCTAGACAAGGAAAGCAATAGTGTGCGACAAGGACATCCTTCGATCTATTGAAAAAAAAATTCAACTTTTTACACACACGTTTTTCTAGGACAAAACACACATAGAATGAAAGCGGGGAGCATAATTTTAAGGAGGCATATAAAAAAGTTCGCAAATTATTCCTCTTAATTAGGTTTTTTTCATAATTAGTGCGAACTGTCACAAAATCGACATGGTGGCGCCATCTAGCGGTAACTCGGCGGTACTAATTATTTATAAAAATACTTATTTCTGCATTTTACGGGTCAAATGGGGTATGGAAAGAAAGCTAAGGGTCTAATTAGGGTAATACAATCGCCAAAGTTCACAATTCGTTACGCTAAATTAGGTTTTTTCGCAAATGAAAATTTCTCTGTTTTACGGGGTAAGAAACACTAGCGCCGCGTTGTGGCAGACCGGTGGAACTAAACGCTCTATAACCATATAAAAAGAATAATTGATTTTAACTTTTGACGCCACAAATTTGCACTCTACGAGCATGTATTTCAAAGATAATACTATCAATTACGTTCGCAAATAAATTTGAATCTAGTATTCACTATAGTTTGCGAGAAATTACGCACTCACTACTGGCACTGCTCCTAACGTAAACGGAATTGAAACATTCTTTATGTACGTAAACTATACTCAAACAAAACATAAAACGCAAGCTTAGGGTCTCTAAAATCGAAGACGCAACCATAACAGTTCACAAATGATTCCTCTTCATTAATTTCTTCTCGTAATTTGTGGAAAAACTGTCACCTGTCAATGTTTAGAGGTAATGGTGGCGCCATCTATTGATAACTCGGTGGTACTAAAAGTGGAAAAATTTTGTTTNTTTTAGTACCACCGAGTTATCAATAGATGGCGCCACCATTACCTCTAAACATTGACAGGTGACAAATTTTCCACAAATTACGAGAAGAAATTAATGAAGAGGAATCATTTGTGAACTGTTATGGTTGCGTCTTCGATTTTAGAGACCCTAAGCTTGCGTTTTATGTTTTGTTTAAGTATAGTTTACGTACATAAAGAATGTTTCAATTCCATTTACGTTAGGAGCAGTGCCAGTAGTGAGTGCGTAATTTCTCGCAAACTATAGTGAATATTAGATTCAAATTTATTTGCGAACGTAATTGATAGCATTATCTTTGAAATACATGCTCGTAGAGTGCAAATTTGTGGCGTCAAAAGTTAAAATCAATTATTCTTCTTATATGGTTATAGAGCGTTTAGTTCCACCGGCCTGCCACAACGCGGCGCTAGTGTTTCTTACCCCGTAAAACAGAAAAATTTTCATTTGCGAAAAAACCTAATTGAGCGTAACGAATTGTGAACTTTGGCGATTGTATTACCCTAATTAGACTCTTAGCTTTCTTTTCATACCCCATTTGACCCGTAAAATTCAGAAATAAGTATTTTTATAAATAATTAGTACCACCGAGTTACCGCTAGATGGCGCCACCATGTCCATTTTGTGACAGTTCGCACTAATTATGAAAAAAACCTAATTAAGAGGAATAATTTGCGAACTTTTTTATATGCCTCCTTAAAATTAGGCTCCCCGCTTTCATTCTATGTGTGTTTTGTCCTAGAAAAACGTGTGTGTAAAAAGTTGAATTTTTTTTTCAATAGATTGAAGGATGTCCTTGTCGCACACTATTGCTTTCCTTGTCTAGCGTCATTAGACAAGGAGCGCACTAGCGTGCGACAAGGACAGGCATATATGTGCGGTAGACAAGGAGGGCGATAGCGTGCGACAAGGACAGACATACTTGCGCGATAGACAAGGAGGGTGATAGCGTGTGACAAGGACAGACATATAGTGGTGGCAGACAAGGAGTGCGATAGCGTGCGACAAGGACAGACATACTTGCGCGATAGACGAGGAGGGCGATAGCGTGCGACAAGAACAGACATATAAACGCGCTAAACAAGGAGGGCAATAGCGTGCGACAAGGACAGACATACTTGCACGATAGACAAGGAAGGCGATAGCGTGCGACAAGAACAGACATATAAACACGATAAACAAGGAGGGCAATAGCATGCGACAAGTACTACAATATAAATTAGTTCTGGCATCTATCCTAGGGGTAATCCACACGGTGCATGCTTAATTATCCAACAAGGAAGTTCAGGACAATTTATATATGTACATCAACTTAACGTTATAATTCGTCGGCCAATCAGACTACCGAGTTACTTACGAGGAGATAAATTATCATTTAATTCTTCAGTATGATATTACGTTTCATTTCTTTTCATCTTTCTCATAATTTTGTACTACACCGATGAGCAAATTGCTCGATAATGTTTTGAAGTTTGTCTAAACATGGAAGGCTTCGTTGATGCGAATGAATCGTAATCGTCGTTGAATACTGCTTCGTCCTTGTCATAAAAAAAGGAAACGGAGAAAACTGAACTGTTATACAAAATTCCGAACATCTTCGTAGATCGTTCAAAAAATATTTTTTGTCGGAAATTAAGACACCTACCCTGTCGTGAAATTGGTGGTTGTTAATTCGCAAACCTAACCTACAATACAGTCGCTCAAAGAGAGGAAAATGCCATTGAAAAAAGATTTGCGACTTCTGTTGAAGCCGTACTATTTTATAAACATTTTGCTGAGCTTTTCCTACATCGTCTCCAAACGCGTTCCAATTGTGTGTAATTATGTGTTCGCACAAGCTGAGTGTGAGCTTGATGGGGTGAGTCGAATGTAAACACAATCATTATTTTGCTAGGTAGCCTGTGTAAAACGTGTACCTCATGCTAGTTGTACTCTTGTTTCAGAGGGAGACGGAAATTCTCTTTTTCCTCATGATAGTCATAATGATAAGAACAAGGAAAACTGGAAGCGTAACTATGATAAGCTACTTATCATCCAGCTTTGTGTATACTAAGGTTGCCAATCTCATCCTTTGGTTTTATGCAGACATTCGTATGGGAATAATATTTGCCATTATATTTATCCGTACGTATTTATTTAATATTATGTCACAGTGAAATGAGCTATAGAATGTAATAATTACAGTATGCGGTCTGGTGTTTCCTGAGCCAACATATCAAGGACCAGAGAAAGTGACCTATTTGCGTGGAGCGAATGGATTACAGGAGGAATTGCACCGCGATACGAGAGTCGTTTGGTTGATTGCGTTCTACACAGCCTGGAATCCAGCTTGTGTCAACTTCGCGCCAATATTCTCTGAGCTTTCGGCAGAGTTCGTAACAATAGTTTACTTATCTCATAAACGCTTAATTGGAAAATAATATTTGATGATTCCGTAGATACGCTTTAGAGAACTTGAAATTTGGAAAAGTAGACATAGGAAGATATCCAGATGCTGCAATAAAGTATCACATTAGTGACGCTAGCACTAGTAAACAGCTGCCCACCTTGATTTTATTTAAAGAAGGTAAAGAGATAGAGAGACGTCCATACACGGATCATAAAGGCAAATTAGTTAAATTCCTTTTTTCACTGGTACGTGTAATACAGTGTTCCTTATAATATCTAAAAATATTGGATATACTTGTGAAACGGAAATACTTACTTCGTAGGATAATATAAAGGCAGCTTTCGATCTGAACAATGTTCATAAAGATTGTAAAAAGAATCCGATCAAGAGGAAAGAGAAGAAAGCAGTGAAAGCAGAGTGAGCTAATCGGCGTTTCTGAAAATTTGTTGAAACTGATGTCATAGCACTGCCAATGATTTCAAATGAAAATTACTTCTACTATGTAGAATAATGGACGTTTAGTGTTACGCGCAAATTTTCATTTATAGTGAAACTGCAAAAGATTTGTAAATATTCATTATAGTTTCTATCATTATGCGTATTTTGTGCACCACTGTGTTCCATTTGTGGATTGAATATTAACTTAAGACGGTAATTTATTAAAAGAAAAGTTGTTGTTACAGTCATTAAAATTGAATAACACATAAAGTGCCACATGCATAAATATATAAATAAAAACCAAAGCGGAGCTTCTAGTTAAGTTGTATATAAATCATGCAACGTTGCAGTTTCATTGAATAAACGGTTGTTGAAATATATATCATTGTATTAAAAATATTTGTATATTACATAATTCAGCTGTGTACAATATACAAGGATGAATACACGATCCATAATATAAAATACTACATACAAAATTTATCACACAGGTGGCCAAATGACCATAACGTGTCCATGAGCTGATTCCGGTAACCATTTTTGATAAGCAGATAGAAGAACTGAAATTAATAATAATCATTTTTAGTTTTTACTCGGATCCTATGTGTGTGTATATATATATAAAACATCTACTAACAATTTTTATCTTCCTTCCAGGTTTCTAACAATTTTTCTTTTGACATAATTCCATGAGACAGTAATAACTGCGTCATTTCTTGTGTTCGCGGTATTAACCTAAAATGATCATCATTTATGTTAATTACTGATTTACTGTTGAATAATTTCATGTATTGAAATCTTACTTAGCCCATGTCTTGTTAATACTTTGGGGGGTTGATAACAATGAAGAAACAAACTGTTTCAATTTCGGACACACTTTTCCTTCTAAAAAGAAACAGGCAAACCATTTGACCCCATCCACAGACAGTGGATATTCCACATCCATTACTGGCAACTTCCAACCTGCTCTTCCAAATGTTCCTGCCATACTACACATTACTCTTCCAGTTTCTGGATCATATCTACTCGAATACATTGGTATAAATAATTAAAATTTAGAAAGAAAAATAAAATAAGGAGTAAAGAGACCTTGGTGGTGGATCAGTCAAGGGTTCTCCAAGATGGCAGAGAGATGGAACAAATTTAGGCAGCCATTCAGGTTCTATAGCAGTGACACCGCGCATATACATTTTATTCGTTTCGTATATTTCCTGATAAACTACCCACTCGGGACAGGTTTTTCGAAGAACGCACGAGGAATGCATGAATACTGGATCTTCCATATCCGTTGTTCTAAAAAATTACATAATTTTATACATATTCGTCTCTGATTAATATGACAAAGGGCTTTTCTTACTTGTAAGCATATTTCCATTTAGCCTTATCTTGGTCTTCATTGACTTCATCTGGCATCACTTTCCTTGCAACTTGATCAGCCATTCCAGCAAGAACTATTTGCCTAAGCAATTTAGCTTCCGTGTCGATTGGAGGTTTCATTCTGAATTAAATTAAGAGAGGAGTTCATTAAATGTAAGATCTGATTCAATTTCTATCTTTTACAATACGTACTCTGGATTAATAATGAGATTCAGAGTCTGGATATTCAAATTAATTTCGTTCGTTAGCTGTTGCCGAAGCTTCCGAATCTCCACAACTGCCTTATGTCGTAAACCATGTTCTTCGCAGAAACAAAGCAATTTCCCTTTAGCTCCGGCATATTCTGCACCTCCTATAGCTCTAATTAAGACCATCGGATCACCTTCGAGTAGAATTTTACTCCATAAATATCATATTTGTTTCTCATTTTTTAAAATTCTAGTCTCTTACCAAGAAGTAAGTTGTTCCCGGTGCCAGCCCAAAAACGTCTCATTCGCAGCCATTTATTTCGAGAATTGCCGTCCATCTCGAATGCTTCCAGTAACACTTCTTGAACAGAAAGCGCAGCCACCATACAGACTGTGTACTCAAGAAGATTGTGTTGATGAGAGAGAGCCAACATCTTCCCATAACGGGGAGCTACTGGAAACGCGGCAATGCTACGGCCAAGTGGCGTCACTTTGGCGTTGTAAGAACTTTCTTTGTCAGAACGAAGCTGTTGCAAAGCTCCAAGTATCATTAGTCTTTTTTCAGCCATTTGTAATTGTACAATGTCCGGTGGAGTTGGGAATGGAAAATTGACAACTTTATCGATATTCATGACTTTCATTTGTAACAGTAGATCGTCCACGGGCTTTTTTTGAATCTCTGATTGGCTAAATTGTTCGAATTGATCATTGAACACTGCCGAGGAATATAATCTGTAAGCAATATCCAATATAGAAATTAATAATACAGAAATCAAAGTCTAAAATTGTATATCGATACAAATACCTGTAACAATGGCCAGGACCAGTTCTACCAGCTCTCCCTGCTCGTTGATTAGCAGATGCCTTGCTAGTATAGCAGATTTTATACGTACTCACTCCAGTTACTTTATCGTACATTCTCGTTTTGCAACGTCCACAATCTACCACATATTTTATGTTAGGTATGGTTAAAGAAGTTTCTGCCACATTTGTGGCTACTACGCACAAACGGTGTCCCTCTGGAGGTGGCTCAAATACCTAAAGAGCAGATTTTTTATGTTATCCTCTTCTCAAGTTGCCTAAATTGTTCTCTAAATTTCTCAATTACCTTTGCTTGCTTGTGACTCGGAAGCAGAGAATACAACGGCAAAACCCACATTGGTTGTGCATTCATGCAGGCTTTTAAATCAACCATGTCATCATCTTCGTCCTCATCCTCGTCTAATTGTACTTCTTCGTCGTCTTCCGCTCCAATTAAGTCTTCGTAAGTGTCGTCGGTAGGAATTATAGAGTAACTGAAAATCCATAATATCAATATACAATTATACGAAGAGTATAATTACAAAGAATTAATAAATAAGTTTTATCACGTACTCGTCCAAATTAATGTCTGGCAATTGAATTTTCTTCTTTTGTCGTAGTTTGTTGTAACGAATGGCTTCCTTACAACGAAAATCATCGTCGTCATCATCATCATTGTTGTTATCACTCTCATTACTATTGTTATTTTTGTTTTCGGCATCTTCCGTTTCCCTCAAAGAATCGTCAGTCTTCTGTGAGCTTTCCTTCGTATTTGCACTTTCCTTTTTATTCCTCGTGGAAAAAGTTTTGCGTAATTTACGCACGATGAAGTTTACCTCCTGTTGTCCTAAATTTACAGTATACATCTTTAAAATAGAAACGTAACACGTTCAGAAATAATTCCGTGAAGGATGCTTACCTGTCAAAAATATTAGTATCCCGCCATCAGGGAGACGAGTGTGTATCTTTATGGCCTTCTTTAATGCATCGGAAACGTAATTGATGCTCGTTCTTTTATTAAAATGTATCGTGACAGGAAACTGTCTCGACTCCACCGTCAACACCGGCGGTTTCGTTTTAAACAATTTACTATTCTCCACAAATTCCTCCACTCGCAGAGTGGCCGACATAATTACGAGCTTCAGGGGATCCTTCCTTTTATTCCGGAGTGGCACGATTCGCGACAGCAGCCCAATCAAAATATCAGTGTACACGCTACGTTCGTGCGCCTCGTCCAGGATGATCACCGAATATTTCGTAAGTAAGAAATCCTGAAATGTTAAAAATTCAGATTCAAGTTCGAGGTTATTTTCAAATGCTCCTGGTTCAATTTACAGTAATGATCACGTACGCTCTGTACTTCTTTCAATAGCACACCGTCGGTCATGAACTTGACTCTGGTCTCTGACGTAACGTTCCCCTCAAAACGAATCAAATAAGAAACTTCTCTCTCGGTGAGATTCATTTCTTCGGCAACGCGTTTGCTCATGGATATAGCTGCCACTCTTCTCGGCTCTGTTATCCCGATCAACTTGTCTTTGGCGTAGCCAGCCTCGTAAAGGAATTGCGGCACCTGCGTCGTTTTACCGCTCCCTGTTTCACCGGTGATTATCACGACGGGATTTTCGTTGATTGCTTCCACTATCATTTGTTCCTCCGCGACCACCGGCAGCTTCAATCTAGCTGCCTGGATCTCTGGTTTCCTTTCCAGTATCACAAACGTAGCAGGTTTTTTCTCCATCGAACGCGGTGTTTCTGAAGACTCTTTACTTGCAGTAGCTTGGTTGTCGACTTTTCCCTCTTTCTTCACAATATTTTCCGTTGTACTGTCTGTATTATTATTTTCTTTATTTGGAATATCTCCGTTTTTTTCCATCTGTTTGGTTTCCTCTGAAGATGCAGTTTCTTCTGCATTTCCTTCTTCTTCTTCATCCTTATCATTCTCGGGATTCAACTCTGACTCACTATCACTAAGTTTCTATAATGAATAGACATAGTAGTAATTATACTGATAAATATAATTATATTTCGACGACTTTTTCACTTGGGCAAAATTTTATTATTATTAAATATATATATATAATAAAATGTTTTAACAATTATCTAAAATATATACATTTATACTTCAATATTTGTATATTGCAAAGAATTAACCTCAGCATTGTCTGTAACTTACATCAAATCCAATGACATTTGGATCTGAAACAGCATCCTTCGCTTTTTGTTCTTCCAATATTGCCAACCTCCTCTTCTTGCTGCCTTTAATAGCATTTATGGACACTTCCGGTGCATCATCTTCATTTTGATTATCCAAATTAACTTTGTATTCCTTAGTGGGTAATTTATCTTCTCTAAATTGACGTTTCAATCCTTTGGTTTGTACGCTGGTTAAAGATACGTATTGTTTCAATTCCTCTTGAGGCACTTGAACTTTTTCCAATTCTTGTAAAAGTTCGGTTCTCTGTTTGAAGTTATAGAATATGCTTAATACGAATATATATGAAAAGAAAAAAGGAAAAAAAGAAAAAAGTTTCAGTAACTTACGTGTAATTTCTTCTTTTTCTTCTCTATAACTTTCTCCAATTGTTTCCTACGTTTTTTCGACAATAGTCGTGTGGCAGTGATTTTCTCAACTTTCCGTCTTGTTTTCCTTTTCTCGTTCGGGAGAACCAGCGCGTTGCAACTGTCATACTTATCTTCACGATGTTTAATGTCTATAGGAATCTAAATGTTTAAAAGAGAATATCATTATGAGTCTTATTCATTTTTTCGTCTAAAATATTATACGAAAATACCTTTTTGGTCGCGGAGTTGTCAATTTCGACTTCTGCGACGTTTCTTGCTTTCCAATTGTATTTTTTTCTCCCCATTTTTGTTTCCACATTGGAGGACAAACTTTTTAAATAAGATGGACAAACTTCTTAATAAACTTTATAAGTAAAGCACTTTTCAAAAGTTTAGTTTTTATAATCATTTCCTAATTTCATATTACGCACAGTTAAGGTATGTTGTCTATCGTTATTTTGGTTATGTTGATTTTACTACACGTTTTATTTAAAAAGCTGTCACGTGACATCTAACATTTTTTTTATGAAACATGACATCAATGGTAAATAATCATTGACTGATGATGGAGTAGAAATAGTAAAAATTATCTATTGTCAGTAAGTAAAAAACAAGTCGATATATTCTCATAATTTCAACAGGTGTCACTGATGTGTGGCGATCACGTGACATTAGTTGCGAAACAATTTGTTTCAAACAATCGTTTACCAAACGTGAAATTAAATAGAGCTACATTTTTAAACAGAGCTACGATTTTTCGCTACAATGTGCAGTTCTTTTCTCTGTTCTCCCTAAGTACAAATTTCTATTCCTTTACGTAATCTCTAGATGAAGTTTAATTGTAATTCACGTTGCGTACGAGAGAGGTTATGTATGTCGAAACTTTCGCTAAGAAAGTCGTAAAGACATTTGATTGAAATACGTATGCACACGTAAAATATGGATACAGGAAACTCGGCGTCCAACGGTGATGTACAAACTCCTCCACGCGCTGTAAGTTAGCGAATTAACATGAATCCGGTACTCACAAATTTTCTGAACGATTTGTTCGCGTCTTCTGTTGCAGAGAAATACCCGTGGATCACGTCAGAAAGGAGTGGACAGTGTGACGAAAAAGTTTCTGCGAAATTTCGACCCGGAGCACAGCGAAAGAGAGAAGCGGAAACTTCACAGACGATTGTATCAAGGCTACAAGAGACACTCTTTGTACGACGAGAATGGCATTTACATCCAAACAGGGGATGATCTGTGTGACTGTTTAAATATGAGCTGCGCGGGATGTCACTTTCCATGCGTGAAATGTTCCTCGCCAAAATGCGGCCACGAGTGCAGGTTTAACTGCGTTAGAAATCGAAATCTATACAGAAACAACAGTAACCTCTCTGTATGCTAACCACAGTTCTTTTTTCTCTGTTTTCTAGGAATAATCGCAAATGGACATACGAGTCCATAGAGAATGAAGGCAGTGACGGCAGTGCCATCATAAAGAACAAGCTGTTGAAGGAATCTTGAACATTGAGATCCATTAATCGATTGCAATGTAACCGAATTATAAAAATTTAATGGCTGTGCTGTACGAGGAGCTTTGTTACGAAATTCACCATAAAATTGTGTATTCCATCGATCTTATTTAACTTATTATACATATTGAAACTAGAATAATCATAAGATGAGAAACTATATATATATATATATATATATATATATATATATGCGAAGAATACTTGTCTTCTGCCCTTTTGCAACTCCCTCGTTATTTGCAGACTGAACACCTCCCGTCGAATCCTTCCTGTCGCTCCAGTCATCCGTGTGCACGATCAATCCGCAGACATTAACGCCTGAAAGAGAATAAACCCAAAGGAAGAGCATCATTGTCCTACCTAAAGCGAGGAAGCAAGAAATCGTCACGCACAGTCGGCAGGTGCACGTGCGTGTGCACCGGCACACAACCGCGCTATTGATTTTTCAGCGGCACTTTTGGCGTAGTGCGCACGTACCTAACGCACATACACACACGCTCTGCTCCGTGTGGAGTGTGGAGGGGTGAGCCCTGGCGCGGAGGGCGTGCGCTTCGTTTTCCATCGAGATCGTGAAAGTTCACGGTGGCGAGTGGCCGGAGACATACATACACACAGAGAAAAAGAGAGAGAGAGGGAGAGAGTGCAGCGAATATGCTGATCCCGTGGCCGGTGGAAATCGAGCGCAACACCCGTCGATCGATCATCCGCTAATTAACAGCCGTAGTTAAGGTACTCGGACAGCGGACAGGCGAGCCGCGTTGCCAGGACAGCGACACTGGACGAACATCCTTGGCCAGGCCAGTTATCGCCCCGGCTCTTGGAAGGCTCATTTGGTCTGGCACGTTGCCTGGTTTTCCTTCTCTCGGTTGGCAGAGAACCCCTTGAACTTTGAGGAGGGTCAACCTTCCAGCACCCTTGTTGTTGACCGTTGTTTTCTGAACCAGGAAGAAGAGGTAGAGAAACCAAGTGCACGTCCAGGAACGCGAAACGTCGCCTTCGGAGAGTGTATCTGTCGGCTGTCCGGGAAGTCAAAAAAAGAGTGACTCGTTCGAAGGAAAGAAAAGCGCAGGACGGTGTCGTCTGACCCACAAGGTTCACCAGACACTTTATTATCTGCAGACCCCTCCGCATCACCGGGTCAATGCGATCGTGATCTTATCGTCTAACGCGACTCGTGACGCGTCGACGTTTAACCGTGGTCGTGGTTCAGCAATCAGTCAAGAATATCTCTGCCCGGGACCGTGCCTCTCTGCTGTTTGTATTGATCACGCATATATATATTTTTTTTAATTTCTTCCTTTCTTGACGTTCTGATACCTGGCGAGTGATCGATCCTGAAAACTTCAGGAATCACGCGCTTTTAGCAATTGGTTCCTTCGTTGTTCTCCTAATCGGCCCCGAAGTAATCGGTCCTGGCGGATAACGTTGTTTGATAACGATGACAAGAGTCTCGGGTCTCAAACGTCACTTGTTGAATACATACACATATAGAGGGATGATTACAGGTCATAAGAGGATTATGAAGTGGTATTTATATCGGGCCGTCGTTTTTCCCAGCGAGCAGTCTCTCAATCGGGCGTTCCACTAGCACACTGAAAAAAAAAAAGTAAAGTGGGAATTCATCCGAAAGATTACACGATCCATTAACAGATAACAAATATACCAAAAAAAGAAAAGAAAAAAAAAGAGAAAAAGAACACGTGGAGTAATAAGTTCGACGACTCCGTATTGACTGTCTTCATTGAGCTTCCAACTTTTAAGTTCAATGTACAATTGTACACGGTATCCGGCTTTGTAAGCCAGAGTGTAAGCAAAGTGATAGTCGCTTTGTACAGCTGGTCGTTAAACGTCGTCGCGCTCGTGGGAGTCGGATAAGGAGAGTAGTACGGTCAGTGTAAACAGCAGCCGGCAGAGGCGTGAAAGAAAGAGAAAGAGGTGTTCTTCGGTGGCGGAGGGTTGCTGCAGATCTTTACGCAAAAACCGTGGGCGTGCGAGTCAATTTCGCTTTTCTACGTCGTGTGTGACAGACAGACAGATTTAAACGGGATCACTGACGGACCCCGGCTGGCGGGGGTTAACATCATCGGGACGGCAGATGTCAGGATGCCGGAGCAGAGCAACGATTATCGCGTGGTTGTGTTTGGGGCGGGCGGTGTCGGCAAGAGCTCTCTCGTGCTGCGTTTCGTGAAAGGAACGTTTCGTGAGTCCTATATACCCACTATCGAGGACACGTACAGACAGGTAAGCCTGAAAGCACATGTGAACCAACGTATTTCGTACGGCGTGTCCCAGTAATCCCAGTATGCTGCAATTGGCAATTTGGGACGATTCTGTGCGAGAAGAAGTTGAAAAACTGTAAGATGAAATGTTTCTGAGCAAATGAAATTCGAAGATTTATACTGAACAATTTTTATCTAAACTGTGCTTTCAGAAACAGAGGTCTTCAACGAAGAACTTTTGCTTGACTTACTTTAGTTGTTAACTTTCCTCTTCATTTCTTTTTTGTTTTTGCTCACGTAGAATCATCCCAGTTTGTTGATAGATTGTATCATGATTGCTTGGGACATCCTGTGTAGTGGACATTTACCCCATGTATAATATTTCCACCCTTAATATTTTGAATTCGCTTTCTTTTCTTTTTTCTTTTTCTTGTTAAATTCAAGATCTTGAGGTCAAACTTTGCCAGGAAATATATGTCGTTCATAATTATTTTTAAAAAGCTATTGGTAGAAAAGTAGAATACTTGCTTACGTTTAGAATACCTATAACAAATGTAGACTATTATTAGATATTTATGTGTGGACAGTTCGCAAAAGAAATATTAATATAATATAAAATAAAGAAATATTAATATAATTGAAGGAAATATGAATACTTACGTATGAAGTGATTGAAATTAAAACTTAAAACGTAAGACTTATAAGCTTGAGACCTAAAGAATCGAAACTTTGAAATTAATCAAAGTTAGAAATCCTGTTTCAAAATCGTCCTGTTTATATTCGTCAAATATTCCTGCAAAGCACGGCACGAAAAATTTGAACGAAAGCTGAAGTAGAAAAACTATAGAGTGACAATTATTTCCAGTATATATATAATATACATTTCAAATTTAAATTCATTATACATATTTCAAATTCATGATGCAATCGTGCGGGGTCGATCGAAATATCGATCGCGCGTGAATTACAATTTTTACGCTTGCAAAATCACAATATCTTCAATACAAATTTCTGTACGGAGAATTTATTCGTTTATTTAATTACATTTAACAATTAATATAATCGATACACGATCAACTACGTACGTGCTTGCAACTTAAAAAAAAATAAATTCATTTCGAAATGAACAAGGAACCGGTTCGATTTCCGCGTTCGATTTCAGCCTCGTGACAACTTATTTAGCTTTGTTATTCCATTTCATGCTGTTATTGCCGCTCGAATCGACTTCTCGATTTCGTGTATTGAGGCTGTATCGTACTGTTCGATAATTAACAGCGCGAGTAGTATAGAGCCGGATTGGACGGCCGACGCAAGTAGTAGAAGTATGTCGTGTCCGAAACAGTGGTAATAGATTCCCTCGAACAGATAAGCAGCAGGGACAGTCGTGACGTAAATTGCTGACGCTTCGTGTCCGATGATTCATACATGATGCAAGATCATTGGCTCTAATCGTTCATCTCTCAACCGAATCGTTATCTCGTTCTGTAATCGCGAGACTCACGTGGAATCGACTTCTCTCTCTCTTTTTTATTCGCGTTTCAAATTCACGGTTCTTGACCGAGCAAATAAGGTTAGGTCAGTGATATAATTCGAATATGTTTTTAACTTTCAAGCTATCCCTTTTATTATTTCGTAATTAACGTAGTTCAACGTTTTAAACTCCCCTTTTTCTTTCCTCTGAGTAAAATAAATTTCGAAACGTGAATAAAAGTTTTCGTTTCATCGTGTACCGTGTTGATCGTTGTATCGATTGTTGATATATCGCTCGTTCAAGTGCTAAGTTCTTGGTAGTCTAATTTAGTGTTTCAAATCGATTATGTTTAAAAAAAAGCTCAAAACACTTACCTAAATTGGTGGTTTTTTTGTCATTATGTCATTTTTGCAGAAAATGAGCGATACACGTGCACATACACATGCACACAATGCACTAATATGTAGATAAGTAATATAGTAATATAGATATAGATCGCGCTGCAATCAAGATTGCGCGATTAATCGATTAATTTATATTTATAACATATATGACATAATATTGATATATTTATAACATATTCGCTATATTTATATTATTTTTATAATTATAATGTTTATATATTTATATCATATTTATGATTCATATTGTCAATCACATTTTATTCTGACCAATTTCGAACAATCGATTCTCGATCGTGATTGCGGCAGATCTAACGTAGAATCGCTAATCGATTGATGCAACGTCAGTTTCAAGCGCATTGAAAAAAACGCTGCCGAGTTATCTGCTGAAACTAACGAGGAGGTGTATTCGAAACGGGGGACGAAAAACAGAAAAAGAAAAAGAAAAAGAAAAAAAGAAAGAAAGAAAATAGTGTAAAACGCCTCGCTTGGCGGAACTGTTGAGACCTGTGCTGTGTGCGCGACGAGAAGCGTGGCAAGCTCGACACAGAGATAGACTCGGAGAAAAAAAAAAATGGGACGATCATGCTACGAATATTTCAGGTGATAAGCTGCAATAAAAACATATGCACGCTTCAAATTACGGACACAACGGGGTCTCATCAGTTTCCCGCGATGCAGCGGCTCTCCATAAGCAAAGGTCACGCCTTCATCCTGGTGTACTCGGTGTGCTCACGGCAAAGCCTCGAGGAGCTACGACCCATTTGGGCTATCATTAGGGAACTTAAGGGGCAGGATATATCGCAGATACCTATAATGCTGGTAAGGCCTATTTTTTTTTGGTCTTTCTTTCCCGTACGACAATTATGCACCTCAACTTTTTCAGATTGCATTTCTCACGAAGACTATGCTCGTACATGTACCTTGCATGTGTTCCATCAAACTGTTTTGAAATTTCGTTAACACCGTAGCAGACGGTTTTAAGATACTTGTCTAGAAATCGAAGTCTAAAGGTTATGCTGCTGTTTTTTTTTTCTTTTAATTTTAAAAATTTTCCACGAACCATAGAAAACTGTGTTCTATCAAATGTTTTGGAACTTCGGTAACAGACGATTTTTAGATATTTGCCAATCGAAGTCTAAATTTACAAATAGACGATCCGTGACGATCCTTGAATCTACCTCTGAATGATCAAAACAATGAGGGAATTTGACCGATTCGATTCTGATTTTTGAACAGGTTGGGAACAAATGCGACGAGAGCCCATCGGTGCGCGAGGTATCGATGAGCGAAGGCGCCGCGGAAGCGGCCAACTGGGGCTGCGGCTTCCTGGAGACGTCCGCCAAGACGAATCACAACGTGAACGCGTTGTTCCGGGACCTGCTGATGCTCGAGAAAAACAGATCGGTATCGTTGCAGCCTGTGCAGAGCAACAACGCCATCAGTCTAAAGGAGAAATGCTCCATGATGTAACCGAGTGGAACGTAAAAACGCAGACAGAGTTAAAGGAAGAGCATCGAGGAGTTGCATCGTGTACGAAGACGAAGACGAAGACGAGAAGAAACTGGAAGAAGCAGCTTATTCGGCGGTTTTTCAATCCGAAAACGTGGCGTCGGCCACGGTAGTCTCGACACGACCAATAGTTAGCGTAGGTTAGATATTACGCGAACGAAAGGGACGATAAATATTGGCGAGAGCATGTGTCGTACAGGGTGTATCTAATGCTCTTTGTTCATTACAAGAAATTACTATTCTCGCGCCGGTAAACAATTCTCCGGGGTGTTCTTTTCTGTCATTTTTTTTTAGATCGATTTTTTTTCTTTTTTTTCTAGATGTACGCATTGCGTTCGACGTGTAACGTGCCGATTGTTACGACGCGCGTCGATTCAGAGCATTAGGGCCGCTTTGTAGTCTCTTTCTAACCAAAATCGTATTCTCATCTATACTATCAATAGATTTTTTAATTTTGATACAGAGCGACGTAACTCGGTCCGTCTCCTAGGTTTCACAAGACCAACGACGCGTACGCGTTCTTCATTCTGTACCAGTCGGCTCGTTAACCGATCATTTTCTGACCATTCCACTCGAGCTTATACTATACAAGAAGGGACACGATCGTTCTGGCCGACGACAGCCGATTCAGACCAAGAGCCGATTTAACGAAAAAAAAAAAAAAAAAAAAAAACGATCGTCCTTTTCGTGTCCAGTGGAAAACAAAGCGAATTTTCCTTGAAAGAGCAGCCAGTACAAAGCTTGTAGTCTCGACTACGTTATTCGAGGCTACGCGTATCGATGCACACCACGAGATATACCGAACACGTTCGACGATCCAACGCGTAAAGAATCCGACGCTCTTTCACGAAAATCATTCACGAACCGTTGTCCGAGACTACTACTACGCGATGATCAATTTCTCAATCCGCGGATGGAGCATAGGGACGAAACACAGAAACGACAAAATTAGATAAAAAGTTGTTACAAGATTGGTTTTTGTTGAATAGTTGTAAGGTTTTTGTAACGATGCTAATTAGGATTTATTACTCGACACTCGTTGATTGATACAATGACATGTACCTACGTACACTTACATGTACACACACGTGTTCCAACAACACACAGGAAGGCTTGCATATTGTTACACGTACAAGCATACATACACACACATACATACACAAAACAAACAAACGCACATACAGATTCATTAGGCACCACCCGTTTCCCGCGTTGACCCAGATTTTAGTGTTTTCCCCCTTGTATGTCGTACACACAGATGTAGGCGCGTTAGTGTTGCGAGAAGACGCTAATTAAAGGGACTCGCCGCGAAGGGCTCGTTTGTTCCTCAACTCGAGTTTCGTTCATCTTGCTACTACTTGCTCGCGTTTATTGTTGCAAGCGGGGTTCTCCTGGACCGAGTTTGGGCGAATTTTTCCACTATTGATATCTCTGCTCTTTTAATATTACTTTGTCGTTGATAAACGAACAGAAGGAAAGAGATATACATACATACATAAATATACATATATATATATTTCTGGAATGAAATTCCTTTGCAAGTTAAGCTTGAAAACTTTGCTCAAACTGTTGTCCACCTCGACATTGTTAGAGCGACCGGTTGCTATAATTTCCTTTGTATTTAGCTGTTAACGTCGATAACGTCTCTGTGTCGGGGCCCATTTTCATTTACTTTAAGAAACGCAATGGAGGTACGAGTGGATGAAAACAAATTAGTTTGTAACTTGGCCCAATAGACTATCTGTGTTGCTCGTTTTCCAGCGGACATTTCAACGAATTACGCTTCCAGCCATTTTGTACGCGGTCCCCATCTACTCGTGCCGATGTTCAACCCCATCGTACCCCCATCGTTAGCTTTAAGAAACGAACGTTGTAACCCTGTCTAATCACGGGATGGGCGTACGTTGTCCCGTTGCCGATATTACGATAGACAAACGATCAGTGTCATTACTACGATCATTATTATTATTGTCGAAATCGCGGATCGCTGAACGGTTGTTTCACAAATGGATCACACATATCCTGTATTGTAATTGTCAGCATACGAGGAGATACGCGCGTGCACTGGACGCATCGTTCCTTGAGCCTCGTATTATCGTTTGAATCGAATTTAATAGGCAGACTGCAGTTTTCATACTTTTATGAATTTTTGTGAAACAATTATGGAAACATGGAATAATGTATTATTTTATTTTACATATTTAATTTCAAATTTCTTGGTATAATTTGGAATTAACGACTGGAAAAGCTGTTGGCCAACTACACAAACAACGAAACTGTTTCTTTCGATTGTTGCGAAGGTTGTCAAAGGTCCGTTGTCGATGTAATGGTCAGCGTTGCATCAATTTCTCGGCGACACGATGCACAAACGCCACACATGCATACCGTGCACTCGCGTATCTGTGCATGAGTCTATGTACATACACGTATTTACTGTTATATTTAGACGCAAGGTTAAAAAGTGTCTAGTCAAAGGCGATTCTGACCTTATGAAATCGACCCTCAGTACGCTGAAAGAGAGAGAAAGAGAGGGAGAGAGTGAGAAAGGGTGGCAAGTTAGGGTTGGGAGGACGGGAGGGAAAACGAGGAAAACACACAGCAACACACAGACGCGCAACACACACAAATATATACACACACGCGAAATTAGAAATCGATAAATCGTATTCTATGATTTTTTCGGGGCCAATCGGTGTGATTTATATAAATTGTGACCTTCTTCTGCGTGATCGGTAGGTAGATCTCTATTGTTTTCGACGACAATTTCCGCGACAATTCCACACGTGCAACAACTAATTTGGACCTTCTTTCCGAACTCACGTCGGCTGATCTTTCAATCACGATTTTTGACGATTTTTATCTCACCGGCGTTAAGGGGGGTGGGAAGGGGGAAAAAAGAATTTCGATTTTCTATCTACACCGGAGGATCGGTGATCCCTTTTTTTACAAAATCTTGGTATCCGAATTTTTAATCCATCACCGAAAAGAATCTCGCATCGATGAACTTGAATTGTGACTCCTCGAGAGGGACTGATTTTGAACACTTTCCAAAAGCGGCGAAGGGTTCGATCCGCGCGAAGCGAAGCCGCGTACTTCGTCTTTCGTTCAAGGAGCGTGCGCGTTCGCCGCGCGTGCGCCGTAGATCGCGCGCTTTTTTTTTTTTTTCGAACTTGGAGAGAAAGTCTTTTTTTTCGACTTTGCGTTCGCACGGGCGAAACGAGAGTCAACATGCATCGAGAGCATCAATTTTTTTACCGTGTTGTAATTTGCCCGGAGCACGCACGACCAACGACGAACGAAGGCACGATGGATCTCTGGACGGACGATATTACGTTTTTATTTTTTATCGCGCGAATGTACATATGATACATACCTTGCTATGGTCGAGGCGATTATTCGAAGACGAAAGTTAGGAGAAAATGGTTGAAGCGTTAAGGGAATGTAGGCAACGTTTCTGCCAGGAGTATTCATTATAGAAACTTATCATAGATTACAGATTACTGTAAAGTAACAAAGAAACTGCTAGGTTTCAGAAATGATTAGGAACGCTTGATTCTTGAATCTTTCTATGAAAAAAAAAAAAAAAAAAAGAAAAAAAAAGAAATAGGAAATATACGGAGGTAACAATAATGCAAATTAATAGGCGCACTATTAATGAGAGTATATAAGTGGGATGTATCGTTAACATTAAAGATATATTTACGTAAACGTGTAAAAATCTAGATAGCGGTAACAGTAAGCAGCTCACAATTTCACGACGAGTTTGTATTCTGTGTAACGGCACGGTGATCAAACTGCTTGCTTTCGTATACGAATGGGCTCGAGTCCCAGATACAACACGTCTCGAGATAGAAACTGTTTCTATCCGATTTTTTCTTCGTCGTCGTTCCCATAGATTTTTAATTCCCGTGGACTTCTATCATAGAGCATCTGAGATTGTTGCGTAATCGGCTCTGTCAATTCGAAATAATAATCGTCGACGGAGTTTTGAAAAGTTGAGAGGCGGATCGGATGAGAAAAATCGTCTTCGAATAACAAGTTCTATGATGAGGAATTAAAAAAAAAAAAAAAGAAAAAAAAAGAAGAAGGAGGAAAGGAGAAAGAAGAGAAAGAGAAGGGTCGTTCGTGCTAAAAAAATATTCTAAGGAAATATGTGTTGGTCGTTATTTACGGGGAAATTTTACTTAGGCTTAAGCTTGTTGTTAAGCGATGATCAATTTTAAAAAGAAACAACACGCATTCTCCTGACAAGTTTGTCCGTATCTTCTCGTTACGTTTACGATAAGAAAAAGAAATGAGAGGAGATAAATGGTATGTGTAACAGCTATGAGAAAAAGAAGCTAACGCTTGTTCACCTTGCTTCCTGAAGGAAATTCATTGTAAAGAGAGAGAGAGAGAGAGAGAGAGAGAGAGAGAGAGAGAAAGAGAGAGAGAGAGAGAGAGAGAGAGAGAGAGAATTACTGTTTAAAGAAACGANTGATGGAAGTAAAGAAAAAAAAAAAAAAAAAATAGTAAGTCTGTGATCGATATAGGGGGGGAAAAAAAATCAACGAAGTTTCTACCATATCAACAAATAATCATATCAATGATTTTACCATATCCATACTCTCAGGTTACGCCGAAAGATGTAAGAGATGAAATAATATAAAAACAAGCATACAACGTGAGAAAATGGGAAAGAAAATATAAAAATCAAAAAAGGAGAATAACTACTTGATCATATACTGCAAAGTAAAAAAAATTAAAAAAATGAAAAAAAAAAAGTAGGAGGAACTGTAAGTGTTGTAAGAAATTGTTCAAATTTGATTAACTCCCACCTTTGATCGGTCGTTAAATCGACGAAAACGAAGGAATCACATATCATGGCTGCGCGTTCCACAGTATACTCGCGGGAGTGCGTCCTAGAAAGGCACAAAGAATGTTTAATATTTAGCGAAATAAAGGAGAAGAAAAAAAAAATAAAGTAACTTAATAACATTACCGAATATCGAGAGTGATCGATTTGTTGTTGCGACGGCTCGTTTATTATTATTATTATTATTATTTATATTATTATTATTATTATTATTTACACTCCAGAACCGTTTAACCGGCTATGAATCTGTACTCGTGAAGAAAATGAAAGAAAAAAAAAGAAAAAAAAGATAAAACTGCGAATTATACAATCTTGATTCTTGGCGACGAGCTTCTTCTCTCAGCAACCAGTCTCTCCACTTCCAGTCCTGGCTCATCTCCATTCTGTACACCACTATAAGTATTTATTATTTTTTACATTTTTCTTTTCAATTTTTCAATCATACTTTTTCTCTATTTTCTTTCAGTTTCATAGTGGAAATGACATTTCTTTTTGACACAAGAGTCTCTGCTTTAATGGATATCATGGAACATATTTCATACATACTTCTAAGCAAGATTTTATGGTAAAAGAATACTATGGAAGTTAAAAGAAGATTTATTTATACAGTGATGAAGAAGAGTATTATTTTGTCCATAAATGAAAGTAAAATCAAAAAGTAGGATTATAATTGTAAGGTTGAGAATCATAGTGATCCAAGATTTTTTTTTATAAAACGGTGTTTTTTATTTGTTATTATAAAAAATTCATCACGTTTTGTCAAATAGTGAACACATATCACAGTATAGAGTAGAATTATACCTCAATCAATTGTTGAATTGAATCCAAATTCTCAAGATATTGATTTACACTACTATGATCCTTAGTCCCTCAGTTATGTTAATTGTATTATTGATTGAAAATTAAAATGATCAAGAATATGATTAGAATGATGAAAAGAGTTGGAAATGATTAAAAATATGAGTTGGAATTAATCAGAAATATAAATCAGAATTAAGTAGGAATCAAAATTGGTAGAAAATAGAATTTAGAATATTAGAAATATAGAATTATGCACCAATTTCTATTATAATTTCCAAGCATCACTTATCTTTACATTTAATATAGAATATTTGAATACTTTCTATAGAGAACATTTATGTGTACTCACATTGTTTTATCAGCTAAAATCAATCTGAATGTATGTAGTAGATATGTGTTGCAATAGGAAAATTAGTATGAATAATTATCTTAAACGTATAATCCCACTGAGCATTATTTTTAATATTAAACTTTTTTAAATTTGTAGAATCAGAAAAATAAAGAACACAAGTGCATTTAATTATATATATTTAAGATCATTCAATGTTATAAATCTACAAAATGCCCATGAAAAGTCATTATTTTCATTATTCTGATAATTGCAGTGTTAATAAGTGGTAAATACAAATTGCCCATGTATGTACAAATATTCAATTATGTTCACCACCCATTGTATACAAACTCACATTCTCGTTTTGTCACACAGAAGTAGCATCGAAGCTTTTAGATCAGCCCAACCCTGTTGGGACACTCTGTATAAAAGCTGGAGGGCACGTCGGCTGTGCAGGATGGGACATTTCGTTACTATTCGTATCCGGGAAGTATCAGCGGATCTCAGCAAAATCACGAAGGCTCTCGATGACCGAGTAGGAGTGGCAGAAGAGAATAAACATCGGCGGGCCAATCGTGAAGAAAGGGTGGTCCGGTGGATGTTTGTCTTGTTGCTCCTCCGGAGGGATGCTGGAATCGCTGCAGAGATAGGGAACATGTGCGGAGCCAATCGCGCGGCACCACGAAAACATCTAAATGTTGCCGAAGATTACAGCGAGATTTCTTTCACCCGGCTGGTCACTCAGTCGTCTATTAACAATCGCCCTGAGACTCCAGTTAGTTTGCAATTTGCACGTTCATTCGGCTACTTATTCGCGTAATAAGATCTGTTTCTTCAGACGAAAATTGGTATCCTGTTACTCTGTTATACAAACGTCACGAGGACTGTGGATTTTTGTGAATATTTATATTTCTGTAAATTGTTATTTGTCTCCTAATACTAATCGTTGAAACTGTAACTACAACTAAACTATAACATAATTAAATTCAATTACAAACTGTAACTACATTATGCAACAACTATCGCTGCAAGTAAACTATACTACAACTAAAACTGTAACTATTATCTTTGTATATTACACGCGTTCGCCTCACGTTTGAATTTTGCACAAAAATACATAGAAATCCGCAGTCTAATTGCTTCTTCTTTTTTTGTTTTTTTTTTATTGTGTAACAAAGTTTTACTTTTATTTATTCTTTCTATCGTTTCGTTCATCTGTCAGGTAATTTAAAATGATTAAATCTGTGGATACTAGTGGGTGATCAGAAGACTATGTTACGTGGAAAGAGTAAAAGTAAAGTGGAGAACGAGGAGGAAGAAGGTGAGCTGAAGCAGAGGAGGCCAAAGTGTGCTCGTTGTAGAAATCATGGCTTGATTTCTTGGCTGAGGGGCCACAAACGAGAATGTCGTTACAGAGAGTGTCTTTGTCCAAAGTGTTCTTTGATCGCGGAGAGACAAAGAGTGATGGCCGCTCAGGTAAGCATTGCCTCTAAATTTTCTTTCAATTCCAATTTCATTTATTTTATTTAATCAATTTCATTTTTATTCGACTCTTCTTATTCAAGAAGAATCGCGAAGACACCATAACACACACCATATTTATTTAAAATAATAATGTGGAGAACGTTCGCGGTTGCGCGACGCCAGTAAATAAACTTTTTAACATATCGACAATGGTTAATGAAGCGTCACGTGTTTCGCAAGTAAGTGAAAATAGAGAAGAAAAGGTGCCTCGTGTCACCTCCGATATTTATTGGAAGCAATCAGCACCCTTAGTCATTTTCTGCACGAGCAAAATATTGTTGAAAGTTCTTGACTTTTGAGAAAGAAAAAGGAGAGCCGAGGGACCTAATGACAGAGTGGTATTCAGTTTCTATTGCACTTGTGCCACTCGATCTCCTGTTCCTCCTGGCAGAAGAAAGAGAGTCGATCAAACGAGGGGGGGTGAAGAGGAATTAAATCCATTAACGCTCGGTGTTGCGTTTCATTTCTGTTTGCATAGGCATTATGACACTCGATACTTCATCCATCCTCTCGATCCGCTCGATGGAAACGTTGCCGTCAGTTTCTCAAATAAACTTGCGTGAAACATGGAAAATACTGGCCTCTGAATCAAGCTTGCTTAACTGCTACCAATCAACCGGCTAATTTGTTTGACTTCTTTCACGTTAATGACTCTACGATAACACGAAGTGTTCAAAAGTATGAAAATTGCGATGATGACACTTTCACTGTTACTGCAATTTTATTTGTCTGCTCTAGAAGAGATATATGATTTTTTCATTAGAAATATTATTGTATTTAGCTTTGTTAATAATTGGTAGGACCCATGGCTCTTCACTGTTTCCAATTAAATTAGTTAGTTATTTTGCAAATATGAAAGAAGACGATTTTTAAGTTCCACTGCAGTCATCAAAGCAAGAATTAGAACTAAGATCAATATTATTTATCCAATTAATTGTTTTGTTTTACTGATTCTCATTGAGCCTAGAAATCTTTTTGATTATTATGTGAGTTACTGTTAAAAATCCACGAATAATAATATCTACATAATCTATATACTCTATACTATATATCTGTACATTTGTGTTAATTAAATACTTGAACTTTACTTATAGCACCGAATACTATTTTTAAACAGTATAAAAAATGAAATGATCCGTAAGAGAGGATCTACAATTATTAGAATACAAATGTTTATATATTGATTAAAGAATTAGTTTCTCATAAATGCACGAACATCCGCTGTTTAATAATTATTGATCCGGAGTCTCTGGAATGAATGTTCTTGGTAATATCATCTTCTTTTTGGAAGAAGCGTAAAATCTAAAAGAGAGACACTCTGTCAGACTTCCTCAATAATCCTGATGGTGTGAAACAATATAGTGGGTGGTCCGGCTGGGAATAACACGTGCCAAATGGTCCCATATGTATCTCTATTGACATTGGCCGTTAAGAAAACACATATGCAGTATCGGCTAAGCGGCGAGTCCATTTATAAATTAGGCGCAGAGCCATGATCCGATCTGACTTCATTTTTTTCATTGCCATGTGTCAATATTCGAATTCCTGTATCTATTTTTCATGTACGTGTGAAATTAATCTCGTTTGTCTTATGATTTAAAGGTGGCCCTTAAAAGGCAACAGGCTGCCGAAGACGCCATTGCCTTGAAAATGGCGAAAGTAGCGACTGGACAGAAACTCAATCGACTTCCGCCGGGAAAAATATTTGGGATGGCAGTAACCGAGCCAAAATCAGCTGTAGACGCTAACAAAAGAGAAGATCCTGCTCCTAAAGAGAACGTAGAATCCGAAGACTCAAAGAAAGACAACCAATGTCAGGATTCTTCAGTATGTAACAGTCTAAGGATTTTTATGCATTTAGCAATTTGAAAGTATAAAGATGCATATTTTGGATAAACAATTTCTCATTTATATTTTACCATTTTAATTGTATTTATAAAAATATCAATTTGTATAAATATCTTATAGTTTAGTAACCATCTACATTTATATCAAACATTATATTGTTATATATCTAAACAAGGAGGTTCAAAACAAGTACTGATACTTGAAGCTTTATTGAGGATAAGTTGCTACTCGCTTGATCGATGTAGCATTAATATAGAGAAAATATCGGATATCTGACTGATCGATATGCTTTTTAGACGATCAACGAGAGTGCGCCGAAGTACAAGAGCCTGGTATTCAACGTGAACAATCCGGAGGAAACAAAAGAGAGCAGCGTGTCGCAAACTTCGGTGGAAACACTAGCTCGCCTCTTTCCTAACACGAAGCTCTCGGTGCTGCAACTGGTGTTGCAAAGATGCGGCCAGGACCTGTTGAAGGCTATCGAATACTTCGCCAGCGACAGTTTTGGAATCAACTCGACCGCTTACTCCTCAGCTTTTCGACCCCCGCAAAGTATCAATGAGACCAGATCCAACGAACAGATCGCCGGCACTATGCTGGCTCCAATTTACTCCAGTCTGTCCAGGAACTTGTACGGGGACGGCTACTGCTTGTTGAACATTGTTCCTGATCAGTTTCCAAAAAGTATAATAGATACCACGACCTGCACCACGTTACCCATAAAAAATACCGGGCAACACGAGCAAGAGGGAGTAGCTCTGAATGTTCAGTATAATAATTACTTCAATTCTGGCGTGCAGCAACAGTTGAGAGATCACGTGTACGCTCAGGTTACGGATCACCTTTCCCCAAGGCCCGGTTTCCTTCATTTACCGCCAGTGCTACCGGGGATCCCCTGCGTACAGCCCAATTGCGCCCAGTGTAGTTACAAATTTCCTTAAATGTTCATTTCCTGCGATTACATTTATCGAGCTACTAGACAAAAGAGAGGGGAATGAAGAGGGCACTAAAATTTCCAAACGTAGTTCCCAGTTTTCCTTTTTATTTCAATTGAAGAACTCAAAGTTGTTTAATTATCACGTAGGAAACATAACGATTCGTATAGTGAGAATTATCGTCTATCGTCCCAAGGATGGATTTAATAATTGACAAACTGCTGTTGTATTCTTTATTGACAAGAGGCTGATTAATTATGGGGACTTGAACGTGTTATTGGCGTACTTCGTGTGAAAGTCTACGTGGTCTATGGTGTTATGCCATAGGGCAGGGGAATTTCCGTAATCTTCAAAGTTCAGTGCGATCGGTCAAGTCAAGCGAAGCGTGCTCTTGATACGCATCGCTTGTCTCAATGTCGTACTCGCCTCTCTACCGACTGACCTTTGATCGTGGAGCGTGAAATAAAATCTGTTAGAGTGATATTTTTTTTTAAAGTCGCAAAAGTCGATTCTTCTACGCGGTCAGCGCATTTTAATTTGCACGTACTAATGATCTTTAATCGGTCAGTTTTCTTAGATATTTTAAACATTTATCCGAGGGACACTAAGGTCATCTTTTAAACTTGATTTATTTCATATTTTTGAAAGGTCGACTTCTCATTGTAGTCTATGTAATTGCAAAGTTTTGCAAAAATTTAATTGATTATTGAATTGATCATGATTATGAAGATTTTATTTGTTAGTTTTCGATTGTTGGTGTCTTTTATTGTTTATCTCGCTACAATGGTAATGAGGGATAAATAAGGATTTAAAGTGCTCTCAAACTTGGCCTATAACGACGTAAATAGCTCGGTTATTTATATGTTATTTATAACACGTAGCACCGAAGGGAAACCTCCCCATAAAAGAGATGCTTTTTTTTAAGGTATTTCTTCGTGAACTGGTTAGAAAGTTTCTCAAGGCGGCTATCGCGTAACTGCTAACCTAATAAGATGCCTGTAATCGAGTTAGGAAGATTCAATTGTCTGTATAAACAGTACCGATATCCTAAAGAAACTGTCGATGCCCAGAAGCGATTTACTTTGGCCCCGATTTGCTTTAGGAAGAAGAAACAGGTTAACCCTACGGGGAATTCTCCGATCCATCGTGCAGTGAATTATAAGGAACTTGACGTCGTGCCGAGAACGAATAATCTTCTTGGATTTTTCTTTCATTTACGCTTTGAGTGGTGGGAGTAAATAGTAGGTGGAAGAAAAAGACAAACACTGAGATACATGATCGACATGTACAAATCATTGTACATTTATTTGGTTCAGTAGTAAACGTTTCGGGGAATATACAATGCCATGAATTATTTAGTTTCTTTCTTATTCGTTCACTGTTCCTTGGTATATTACGGACATACGGAATATGTTGCTTCTCGTGTTCTATATTTAAGAATGTTTGTTACTTGCTTAATAATAGGCACATCAGTTTATGCTAGAGTAACCAATACCGTGTTAAGAGAGCTTCACTACGTGTACGTTACATAAGGATATTAATCTTACAATCCAAGCTGTTATGTGAACGAATCGAAAGATTAACAACGTTACGCTTGTTACACTATTTTCGATGTACGTGCTTCTTTCTCGAGTATACGTTCATTTCGGGAGAACGTAAATGAAGTAATCTTCGTTAATCACGATTTCTACCAAGCTCTCGTAGTTGGGCTTTCCGTATGTTTCAGTTGTAAATTGGCGAAGATCACGCATCCAAGTTAACAATTTCTTCTGTCTTCAACAAGACTTAAAATCGAAGGTGTGGCTTATTTTTAATCATGTGTCTGTAAAAGAATAAGATATTAGGTAAAGTAATTGGAATATTGTATTTATTTAAATATTCTACGGATGTAATACGTACTTGTCGAGATGTTCCCAGAATACCATTAACGCTGCTCGATCCAAGTGTCTCTTTGTTCGGCTCAGTTCTATCACTGTCACTGCCCAACGGGCTACATTTGCATCCAGTCTCATTTCATCATATTTTAAATGAAATGCGCAAACTGTAAACAGAAAGGAATTAACCAAATTAGATTTTACTTTCCGTACTTACAATAGAATATTATCTTAGTTATATTTTCACTTAAACATACTTTTTGAAAAAATCTCAACAGGATTGCCGTTGAAAGGATAACCCTTGAATTGCCAAGCTGGTCCCATTACGAACACTGCTACTACCCTTTCCCAGTCCGCATTTGTAAGTTTCTGTGGATTATCCACTACCCTGTATGGTACTGTGAGTCCAGCTTCCTTTCTACGTTGCAAAAGAACCTCGTTCTCCCGTTTACAACCCTGTGCCCGTTTTTCTTCATTACTAACGTATTTCAGATCCTGTAGTATGTCTTTTGCATTGTACATTGTGATCAGTGACGTATTTGCACTTGGAATGATGATGATAGGAGTTCTGCTGGGTCGCTTGTTCTGCGCAGCTTGCTGTGGTGTGAGTTTGGCGGCGGAAGTCGGCAGCAGACCAGAATTGGGAGTCGCAGAAGGATTGGTCGGTGGTTTTCTAACAGCTGGATTTGTACCTTCTGTTACAGATTTCAGAGTCATACCATGATAAGTGCCCATTGTGTCGATTTTGAATCCTTCCGTTTCTTCTTTCTGTCTGATAAATCTCTCCTGATCGTAACGATTATATACAGCCGGTTGTGGTAATGGACGCATGGGTGTGGAACGTGGTGTAACAATAGGTGTGGGTGCAGTAGGGCCTTTCTGTCTGCCCTCTTCACGAGCTTTGATACTCTGAAGGATTGCAAATATATTTTTGGCAAATGTCTTTCCACTACTCTGTAAAATAGTTGTACGTGTTCTCCACTGTCTTTCCCTGGAAACTATGTCTTTTGTGTCATCCACGCCCATTAGTATAACACGTAGGTCAGATCCCATTCCAATGTCATCATTTTCTTTAATTGTGGTACGTTTTTTAGCTAAACGTTTGGCCTTAATAGCTGCGATCTTTTCGACAGACATTGCCTCAGAGAGAGACTTGATGTTATCCACTGTGACAGAAGCTTCCTTTGGAGCATCCAGCCTAGCAGCAAGTTGCTCTTTAACCTTTTGTACGTGAGTCTCCTCGAAGCGAGGCTTTTTTGAGGTACCACTCTCCAATCCATCTTCGGCTGTTCTTTTAACTTGAGTAGGGATTTCCAAAGGGGCAGACTTATCTATGGCAGCTGACGTAGCAGTCTCACCGTTCAGATAGGCCAATAAATCTTTCCTATCTGGTCGCCGTACCACTGGTATATTCTCTGCAGCTGCTTGCCGCACGTATACAGGATGCGTAAGTTGTACATGTTTGAGTAAAAATAGTAGGCACTCTAGGGTGTAGTATTCTTTTGGCGTTCCTTCTTTGCCAGACCTACAATAAATTACAAGTTGTTATATTTATATGTTATGTATATTTATTAAATATTTCACAGAAGTTTCTCTACGTACACAATAAACATTCTACTTAATATATTAACTTAAAGAAAAGGAGAAAACAAAATATCAGTGTTACAAGTATATAACCAAGTGTATAACAAACAGAAACAAAACATACAATTTTATGCACTGTTTAAAAATCAGAGAACTACAAATAATATTCTTTTCCAGTATCGAAAACTGAATGACTTGTTCATTAATCCCTTTGTAATGTTTCGTAAACTGTTTGTTTCTGTTACAATGGAATCGCGTCTTGAGGTTAGAATTGTTGCGATGAATTTTTTAGTTGTTTACAATGTACTTACCCGTATGTTAAATAATTCGTCTTTACATTCTTCGGCCACGAGAATTCTCCGAAAATAATTTGATTTTCACGTTCGATTATTTCTTTTTTATTAACATTGTATTGCCTCAACAAACTCAGCGGATCCGCCATGGTTACAACTGCTGCACCAACTGGTGGCGGCGCGCCAAACCAAAGAATAAGTCGCCATTCACATGACGCGACGTTTTCGCATGGCAATTTTCATTGCTATTAATATCAAAAACGAAATATCGCTTTTCAACGACGGTTTCACGGAGAGTTACATTTCGAGGGTATTTGCAGAATTTGTTCGTGTATCGTGAGGTGCTTATTCCTTCTCTTCCTTTTTTTCTCCGAGTTGCGTTCGCTGGAGACGTGAATTGTTTTCAAGTAATTTTATTCGGTCTCGAAACGGCGATAAGGGATCAGCTGTTGTGTCAAACAGCCACCGATATCTCTGTTAACAAGGTAATTCGATTGGATCTGCAGGTGTACCGTGGTCTTCGATATATTTGGTCACTGTAAACATCAATGCTGATTGTCGAGGAACGATGAGCTACCCGGAGAAACAGGTTAACATAACGAAGGATGAGTGGGTCGCCAAGCTCGAGGAGAATTCTTACACGCAACGCGTCTCTATGAATAACTTGATCATGAATTATCTGGTCACAGGTAAGCTTTCCTTTTTTCTTAACTTTACATGACTTTAAGCTGTGTACTGTAACGTCGTTGATCGATTTCACTGCGTAGAGGGCTTCAAGGAAGCCGCAGAGAAGTTTCAGCAGGAATCTGGAGTGGAACCCACGGTGGATCTGAGCTCGTTGGATGATAGGATTCGTATCAGAGAGGCAATTCAAAATGGTCGTATTCAGGAGGCAACAGATCTCGTGAACCAGCTGCACCCGGAATTATTAGACAACGACAGATATCTTTACTTTCATCTGCAGCAGTTGCATCTGATCGAGTTGATTCGTTCAGGGAAAATAGAAGAAGCTCTGCAATTTGCCCAAGATAGGCTGAGCGAAGCTGGTGAATCAGATGACGTTATCTTGTGTGAATTGGAGCGTACTTTGGCTTTGTTAGCTTTTGATGAACCCCACAAAAGTCCCTACAGTGATTTACTTCATCCGACCCATAGGCAAAAGGTAATAATTGTTTGATATCATTTGTGACATTTCTTTCTCTTTTTTTTTAATAGATTGCAAAAATAGTTCTCTGTATGAATTTACATAGAGCAGTAATATTTGCTCTATAATTAATGATACCAATATTAGAAATACTTTTTTTTTGGTGAAACTATTGCAGATTGCAAGTGAATTGAATGCAGCTATATTGAAAATGGAGCATAAGGAATCAACTAGTCCACGATTGAATAACTTGCTCAAGATGATACTTTGGGCACAGGATGAATTGGAAAAGAAAAAAGTAAAATATCCAAAAATGACTGACTTGGGTAGCGCTACTATTGAGAATCCAAAATAACTGTAACCAGGCGATGTGTGGGACAATATAAATGTATTTATTAGTATAAGAAAACGATCGCGCAATTGTACTATATTAGTGATAAACATGTGAAGAGGACTTAGGAAAGGAATAGACTCGAGCATTTTAACATACTCTTGTTTAAATTAGTACTAATTATTTTCTATAAGAAACATGTATAAAATTTCAATCATACATACATATACATATATAGATGCAAATTAAGAGAGAGGAATGCACTGATTACAACAATTACGCAAGTTTTTAACATTATAAAATGAAGTCATTGTCATAAATCTCATGTGTATTATACTGATAACGCGATCAAAAAAATTTACAAGTTCATCAGCTTGTAAAAAGAAGTTTACCGATATTTTTTAAATAACACGAGTATGTTAAGAAACGGACCATTTTAACTGATATCTGTGCAATATACGTGATTCAACGTCGCAAAAGTAATTTTAACGCCTCTTAATTGTAAGCTATGTTGTATTACAGTAGAAACGATTAAATATCGATAGTAATTAGTTTAAAGTAGAAGAAGTACTAGAAAAAACATAGTTTAGATGTAACATTATGTGATAATTATTCGATGTTTGTAAAGATTTATATTTGGTACTATCGTAAAAGAACATAAATGAACATTTGAATCTTTGAATACATATATATTCCTTTCTCAGATTATTCGTGTTTATATTGCATTCAATTTTTATAAAAACATAAGGAAAATTGCAGGAACATTAAACAATATTTATCATCAATAAAACAGTATGTACAATTGTCTTCATTCACCATCCGAACATATATTCCATTGCTTTTGAAACTAGACCTGTAGATTTTTGTGGAACATTCTCAGGCGATCTTATCGACTGCGGACTAAGATTTTGATTGTAACCAGTTGCCAATGGTCTTGCATTTTGTACTCTTATTGGTGTACGCGGTGTACTGTATTCTGGCGATTGAGTAACTCTTCCTAGAGTAGACAAACACTTAATACTTCCGTTCACTTTCGAACGACTTTCTTTCTCGGATCCTAATATAACACCCTCATCTGTACAAGGAATTACGCCAATCATTATAGATCCAGACACTATATTTCCATTACACGCAAATGCCCTTTGCGCTTCCAATTCAGAAGCACATTTTAGATGTATCCAATTGCTTGTTGAGTGTGGAGCAGGATGCTTGTCCACTATACGAACTCTACTAGAGATGTGAGCCAAAACTGTAGTTATATCATTAGGTGGAAAACCAAAGACAGTCACCCATTGCAACAGACCTTGTGATTCATTTGCATTAGAACTCATTGCACCATCCCTAAATATAGAATTGTTCATGCTAGTCGTCAAACATTTCGACTGATTGCAAGTTATACTTTGATTTGTTGCTGATAAGTAGGGTGATGCATTTTCAGAAGTTTCCAGAGAATCAAACAGTCCTCTCGTTGGAGGTCCACCAGTGTGGCTTTCTGTGACTATTTGAGATGTATTAGGAGTATTAGCACTTCCAAATACTGCTTTCTGTCGATTACTACGATAGTCTGGAGTACCATAGTGAGAAAGTGGAGAGGTCAATCCACTGTGAAATTGTTTTGATATATCTTGTGGAGTCATCAAATTTATTTTAGCAGGCTGAAAATTAATAAAAACGGTTACTTGATGTATTGTGCAATATTATGCAATGTAATTAAACAAATTTTATTTACCGTTGTGCTGTCACCTAAAAGAAAATTTGGAAGATATGCAGAAGTTGCTGAACTTCCAGGACTCTGAATTGGGCTTGCAACAGGTGATCCCAATGCCATTGGTTCCATCTAAATGCTAATAAATGCAAAATTAAAATCTTACAAAATGCAACTGCATTGAACATAATACTTACAAACAAAACGAACTGTTTACATATTAGTTATTACATATTAGATTTCTTATTTTAATAAACAAGAGTATGTTTTGCACATTAGTTTTGTTTAATATTTTAAATATTAAAGTCTTTTTTTTTTAAAGGTTAACTAAGATGTGTTGAGGTTATATACACGGAATTTGTAAGTGTACACACATAAATGACGAATTAGTCAAAGTCGAAGGTAAATTTTACTACTTACTGTTTTCACTTAAACAAATTCTAAAAATCTTTTACGGTGTGTCTAAACACTTAAATATTCACAGCCGTTTAAACGTTTAATAGATATTTGAATAACGAACAATGTCCGACTTCCACCTACAGATGTCTCCTCTGTCGTGTAAAATACAGACAAAAATTATTTAATGTACATATAATATACATTTTATTGATAGAATCTTAAAGTAAAAAATAGTGTAATAAAGAGATAATTATTTTAGTATAATTCAATTTTTATTTTTTAGAACAAGCATTTTTGGCGGGAAAGAAGACACGGGAGAGGTATCACGTGGTAGACGCGCCGCCATATATATTTTGAAAGTCGCGTTGAAAGGACGGCCGCGTAACGCGTCGTTAGTTTATACGGAAATTTTACGTTTAAACTCGATGTCATTCGAAAATCAGTGACACGCGCGTTAAGTGCGTGAAATAGTGTTAGAATTTGCATACAAAAGTGAAGTGACTTGAAGATGGGACATTTTACCGGCGATTTTTCTTGCGGCGCAGGACAGGTGACGTCATGGCTTCTTCAGCTTTCCTCCAAAGAATATTTTACGCCTGTTGGTAAGTGAATCCATTCACTTTTGATATTTTCAATTCGAATATTTCGTTGTTTCGATGCTTTACGAATTTCGCTTACGAATATTGGTATTTCATCGGGAATTAGGTTAGAATTATATCACGCGTGCAGAAGGGCAAGAGACGAAACGGGAAGAGTATTATAATAGTGAATTTTAATAACGATGAAAATTATGTACATATTTACAGCTTCGTTAAACGCTTATTATGATACGACAAGTACCAGGATTTCGATATGCCTACTACGTAAGAAACACATGTTCGCTCTTTTAGCTTGTTACACAATGTCGTGTGTGCGACTCTGCAACTTTCGTTTCCCTTTCTCTTTTGTGCTTGACCATGCTCGAAATTATAATGAATAATGTTCACGAGATACGCGAGAGTTTCTTTCGGAAAACAAAAAAACAGGGAGGAAAAAAGTTGGTATATAGACAAAGCATTTGAAACTACATACATATGTATAGAGTTTGTAGCAATAACTTTTGAATTTTCGCGCGCATTAATGAACTGACGCGTACATAGAAATAACAGAGTGTAAATGATTCATCAATAGAATTTTCGCAGTAAATAACAGTAAATAGCATTAACAATGTGTAATTAATGGTCTTTCTTATAAAATTGCCGGATGTAGGAAGACAATAATTAAAACAATTATTTAATACGGATGTTTATTTCTTTTTTTTTTTCATAACCTTAGTCATCGATATTATCGGAACAATTTAAAGAAATTACGAAATTTCGAAGAAACTTTATCAGTTAATTTAAAACGTTAAGTTTGTTGTCTGGCAATTTTACAAAAAAGATTAATTTTTAAAACAGAACGAATGTGCGATTCTCATTGGCTGTTTCCGGCCCCTGAGCTAACATCTTGAAATTTGTATAAATATACGAAAGCGAGGATATTTTTCATTAAAACATCGATGTAACACACTTCTAACAATAAGTATAATTTCCCCCTTTAAGACATTGCCATATGGCGTGTATTTTCAAACTGTTCTCAATTCCTCTTGTTTGCGCGGGAAAACTTGAAATGTGATGAAGTCGCAAGACCATCGAATGTAAAAATCTAGGTAAAAATATATAGTCCTGAAGTATCAGAGCTGAGATTACGTTGTATGAGATGCACCGTTTATATCAGTGCTGGGTATTTTGTGTTTCAACAATTGAAGTTTCATTGAATACTGAAATTTGTTGAAAAAAAATTGTGGATACATAGATTTACATTGAACATTTTTACATTTCTGTTATTTAAAACATTAAAACTAATGGCAGAATAAATCAGTATCACTTTAGTGAAAATAATAATTACCCAGCATTTGTTTGTGAAGCTAGTTATTAAATTCATGATTGCTTTCCACTGCATTTGTACAAACACAATAGCAAGATTTTGAGATGGAAAAGAATGTGATCTATGTGGAGATCTGTTTTTTTTTCTTTGTTTGAATATATAAAAAATGATATACAGTAAAAGTAGAAGTACTCTTATAAAATTGTAGTAAAAATAATATTGTATCAACGTATGGAAAAACAATGAGAACTTTCTTGTTACTTATTAAAAAGATCTTTGGACGATCTGTGTAATATATGTATATATGCATACGGAGAGACGGATTTATGCTTCCTTTGGTTTTTTTTTTTAGTCATTTGTTCTCTGTTCTGTTCTCTTTTTATCATGTTTTAATTCCTTTTTCTCTCTCTTTGGTAATTCCATGGATATGTTTTAAACAAGATCTTTTCTTCACGCGAGAATACATTTAGAGCCTAGAACATATTTTGGTTTATTACTAGCGACAGATCTGGAAATGTTTAAAAAATTAAATTAATCATTGTTTTTTTTATAATTCTTTTTTTTTTTTTTTTTTTTTTTNTTTTTTTTTTGCCTTTTTTTTCCTTCTCCTCTTTTTCTTCTCGTACTTTACTTTTTTTTTTTTTTTCGTTTTACTTGCGTTATTATTTATACGTGTATTTTCTTTTTTCGTTTTACATCGCTGTCGAGGGGAGGACGGATAAATCTTGATCACGAAAGAGGCTCGATCGAATATGGCTCTTGTGAGAAAGAAAAGAAGAACTCTTTCGCGGGCTCTTTCGGGGTTGAAAAGAATTTTCGTGTCGGGAGGGAATCGAAATGTCAAGGATAAGTGGAACGGCGTTTCGTGCCGCGTAGAAAATCGCCAGATATAAAAAGAAAGGTGTTTAAGTCGTTACTCTCGAACGTGTCGCCGTCGTACCGAGCTGTCGATCATCGAACACGCTGAGAAAGAAGAGAAAAGAAAAAAGAAAGAAAGACAGTGGAATGTAATTAACCATTAACCGAGTGTCGAATCAATCCGCAGAACTTTGTTTCGTTTTCTTCTCTTCTGTTCGTGAACGAAAAAAAAAAAAGAAAAAAAAAAGAAAGAAAGTGTAAAGTGAGCCGTATTTGCGTGAACATAGTGTGTGTAACAAGTAGCGTAGTCTAAGTTTTAACAAAATTAACAAAGTTAAAGTTCAATCTCGTTGTCGTGTGAGGCTCTAGAACGAAACACAAGGACAAAAAATTCTGGCGGTGAACGTGGTTTGTGTTCGAGAAGGTGTGTGTATGTGTGTATGTGTGTGTGTGTGTGTGTGGCAAGATCTATCCGTCCGATTTCTACACCGCGGTTTTGTCATTTTGTTAGTTCACGCGCGATATGATTTCTCTGATACGAGGTGAACCGAATGAACGGGCACAGAGGAAATTTAATCGTTGGGCTAACTAGACCAAGCATTACCCGCATACCGCCATGGTTGATCCCTTCAGGGTAAAGGAAATGAAACGCGCGGGATTATCATTGACTTTCGACTTTCAACCTGTTCCAAATATACCCAATTGACCGTTTCGTCTCAGAAACATTTTTTTTATCTTCTTTTCTCTTTTTTTTTTTCTTTTTTTTTGGGGGGGGGGGGAATTTTCATTCTGGATTGTGGGGATAAGAGGGGGATTTCCGCTTCACTGCGAAACCTGAAACGAAAACGATCTTTCACCATGTTTCACGTTAGTGGTTAGCGAGCAAATGTCGATCTCTCTATACAAACGGCAAACAGAGTAAACGAACACGACGATATTCCGTGTGGTTACACTCCACACAAGCTGCAGGTATCACGCTTTCGACAAAAACGTTCAAGCTTCTCTCACTAGCTGCGAAAGCTGTTTAAAGAGCTTATAAGCTTATAAACCAAAGGTAACGTGGTTACGGAAACTGAAAATCAGCTCGTACGAGATGTTATTACTCTGCAATTGATACGATTTGCCAAAAACTATCAGCAAAAGTGTGTTTTTTCTCCTTCTTTTTCTTCTTTTTCTTTTTTCTTTTTATTTTTATTTTTACAGCGCAAGGAAAAGGTCTCAAGTCCGAATCGTCGTTGTTTCGTATCGCAAGATCCAATTTGTCCAATCAAAGCGACGAGTATCAAAGACTCGTGCGACACGAGCGAGAGGCATATAAATTACGCATGTAATGTATGTATATATATATATATATATATGTGTGTGTATGGTATATAATGTATAATTTGAAAAGACTCGCGACGACACGACGGTGCGGGGAACAAGAGCACAGAGGGGAAAGAATGGCGTCGGTGGGGGCGTTAGTAATATAGTCAGGTCACTGAGAAAAACTGAAGACCTCACCCTAAAAGCAAACCACGGCGGGCTCGGTTATAAAGCGAGACAGGAACCAAGGTTGCCAATATGCACTTTCTAGAGGGCTATATAATTAATCTAGATAGGTATATTCACATCTAAATATATGTAATATATATATATATATGTATATGTATTAATGTACAAACATATATAGATATCTGTATATACACACGTAAAGAGAGAGAAAGACAATATGTGTACATACAAGAGATGTATCTACGCCAGCTAGAAAGAAAGATAGAAACAGAAAACGAACGTTTTTTTCCTTTCTTTTTTTCTTTTGTTTTATAGGTCCGCTACGTCACATGCAGAGTTTGTTCTTTCTGTTACATTTTTTTTCGTTTGCTCCTTCGATCGGTAATTAACGATCACGCGTACGCATTCTCACGCTCGCTCAATTGAGAAACCGATCGGTTTCTTAATTTTTCGTTTTCTTTTCTTTTCTTCGGTCAGTCGTGCCGATCTCCTTTTTCTCGTTTGTTAGTCGGACCCTACGGCACGCGTGGAATCAAGCGTGAACGAAAATTCACGAGAATACGTCGCGATCTTCCATAGAGTAGAGACAAAAGCATCCTACCGTAGTAGTGTCATTCGGGTTTGATGCAGTGCAAGAAACGAGTCAGGCATCGAAAAGAAACGAGAGAAAGAAAAAAGAAAGGAAAGAAAAAGAAACAGCAACGTCACATCGATGTGCACGGCGCATGCATTGCAACTTACCTGCGGTGATTATTATTATTTTTTGTTCTTTTTTTTTTTTTTTTTTTTTTTTTTTT